TGCGAATCACAAACTGTATACGGCATGAGTGAGACCAGTGATGCATGAGCGATATATGTGATGCAGCACACGACTGACATGCATCGGCTTCTTTTGGAACGCGCAGCGATTCATTGAACTGTCTGTCACGTAGCCAATGTGTCTCAAAGCGTCGAAACCTGAAAAACCAAAACCCACAAAACCAAAGAAACCAAAACCAAAAAAATCAAAAAAACAAAAAAAAACAATTCTTTCAGAACTCTCCCATTTGTGTATATTTCTAATGTTATTCTGGAAGAGCACTGAAATAATGTGTTTTTTTTTTTTGTTGTTTTTTTTTGTTGTTTTTTTGGTTTTGATTTTTATTTTTTTGGTTTTGTTTTTTTTGGTTCCGTTTTTTTGGATTGGGTTTTATAGGTTTGTTAAAGGAAAGGGGCTGGTGTTTCTTAGGGTTTGAATTACGACAACGCCCCTAAGCGCCAGAGTATGTATGTACCTATTCACATGTACATATACATAAGCATTTACATGTATGTATAAAGGAACGTATACATGTACGTGTACATGTACGTGTACAACGTATGTGTATATGTATGTGTATGTGTATGTTCCTACTTGTGCACAGGTGGATGTTTATATGTGTATATGTATTGGTGTTTACGTGTATATGTGCGTGTATGTATGTACGTACGTGTGTATGTATGTATGTATATAAATACCTAAACATCTGCATAGGCACAGAAGGCTACATGCATGCTGCTACATGGCAGACGCATCACCTGCTTTGTAAGCCTAGCTGGCCAAGGAACAGCATGCAGGAGGCGACGCGGACGGCGGAGGATCTGCAAAGGCGGACTGCCGCCAGAGTATAGACTGTTTAGATGCTATGTTCTAGCTTTGACAGCCCTTGACAGGCTCATTGAGACTGCGCATGCCTGCATCGTGGGTATAGATCCTGCTGGCAACGTGAACGAATGGAACCATCACATTGTGTTTGCCTCAGGGGCAGGTCGGGCGGGTCTCAACTTTCTCGGCTATAATGAATGAATCGTCAGTTGTATTGCAAGATGTCGGCAAGTTGTGGCAGGAAAGGGATGTTTGCTGGTTGTAAAAGTCATCGTCTTGGCCTTCATCACCGGTGGGGTGTCCTGTCGGATGAAATCATCCAAGCAACAAAAGGAGGCCCGCACTGCGCAGACCCCGAAACCTTGCTTTGTATGCTAGGAGGGAAAAAACACAAACACCACAAACATCCGGGACTATCGGGATTGGTGTTGTTTAGTCGAGGTGTAGGAAGTTCTGCAAATACCAGAGAATTCGCTCGTGCGTGATGTGCTACTGCGAGAGACTCTAGTCCTCTTCTCCGAAGTTCGCGTTCTAAACAAGACACGAACCAGGGCGTGAACCTGCGTCGGGAGTGTGAGAGCTGCTCGTGCTCGTGCTCGCTTGGCTGCGCTGAAGAAGAGAGAAAGAGGAGAGAGAGATAGAGAGAGACAGAGAGTTAGTGTGCATATCTAGAGTGTTGTGAACTTGTTGTACATGTTGTGAACCGCGGCGAGGCACACTGAGAGCCATCGTGAACATATCGACAGCTCGCAGAGACTGGCTTTCGGGCTGTGAGCAAGAGTACAATCGTTCAGGTCAGCCTTCACATTCAGGGGTACCTACAGTTATTACCAAGCTCAGCCAGCCCTCCATATGATCGACTCGAGTCCGTGAGAGAGAGAGAGAGAGAGAGAGAGAGAGAGAGAGCCCGTGGAGGGGATCAGACATCTATCGCACGTAATACCGTGCGTCCCTTCAGCAACGGGCTGCTCCCGCGGGGGCGTGCCCTCAAGCCTGGGCAGCCTGGGGACGGAGAGAGAGAGGCAGAGACAGAGGCACCCTTTACCACAACTCTGGCGAAAGAGAGATGCCATGGACAGACCATCTTCTTGCCTCAGCAGATATATGATATAGCATAGCCACGGCCATGCGTCCAGCAATCTGGCGCACGGAAGATGCGAAAGATGAGGCTCAGCTGTCCGGTTGGTCCAAGGAGGACCGGGGCCTTTTTTTGCAGGCTGTATCTCGAGCTTTGCTTGCTACGCCGCCGAGCTGCTTTGCATTTGGTAAAACAGCGTGAGTGACAACGCTCTCAGCTCTGCAGCCAGAGTGCGGACTTCCTGCTATGCCAGGACACAATGGGCAAACGTTTGGTCGACAATTTCGTCTTGAAGGAGGATCAGGAGGCCAATGCCTCAGTCCCGCTGCGTCACATCAGTGAAGCGTGGTCATTCGATCGCTGCGTCTGAGAAGAAATTCCGCATCTGTTTCACTAGCCGTTACATATTCTCGGCCTTGCATTCAGGTCACCTAAACGTAGGCTGCTGCATGGGCAGGCCTCCAGCTACAAGTAGGTGTACAGACTCGGCCAGTGGTTGGCTTGGCCCGGAGGCCGTAGGCCCAGGGCCAGGGCTAGGCCATGGTGAGGACCTAGGACAAGTCTAGGCCTAGAGCGAGGAAGTAAAGCAGGATTGTGCGGAGGGCAGGGCAGGCCCCAGCAGTCAGAGACCGGGATGCAAAAGGCCTAGTGACATAGTGGAGGTCAAGAGATAAGGCAAAGCCCGAAAGATCGTTAACTCCGGTCGTCGCCGTCTTCTTTTGCATGCAGCCATGGCCATGGCGTGAGTGGTGGGCGCGCCAAATTGCAAGTTTCACCAATTTTCGACCATGTTGGGAGGTAGGCATTGTGGCTTATCTTTCGGGCCAAGCGAACCAATTACACAATTCAATTCAGGTGACTTGATTAATTTATTTAAATTTATTTGCCCGCAAAGAACCGCAAATTAGCCAACACATCAATGCGTGCGTTTGCCTATTCTGCAGGGTTTGCGTTCATTCCGAGCTTCCCAGATCACCCACAAGTATCCAAAGCATTGGCATCTTTGCAAAGATTTCGTGTTTTGGTGATTTTTTCGCACGATTTGCAGGCTTGGGGGAGCACCAAATCGTGAATTTCGCTGCTTTGATTGTTTCGGGCTTCCCACAGGAGCCAAGAATTGGCATTTTGGCTTTTGACTTTTATCGGTCTTGGGGAGCCTCCTGAATCTCTCCGAAGCACCTCCCAAGGAGCCAACCTAGCGCATTTTTGTTGCTTATTCCTCGGCCGGGAAGGTGACGGCTCGACCATCTTCAGCTTTCCCAAGCACCCATAACTACCCAAATCGTAAGCATTTTAAGTGGTACTTTCGAGCGATTCTGGCCATTTTGACCATCCCCTGTCCGAGTGTGAGCGCCGAAAGTACCCAAGAAGTCGTCCAACTAGAGGCATTTTTGCAACAAAAGCCCAAATCCTGTCATTAAACCTGCCCTCAAAGTCTGGAAGCAGGGGAGAAACTTTATGCCTTCACTGTTCGGACGTGCAAGCATGAAAATGAACAAGACGAGAGGGGACCTGGCCTTTTTCTTTTCGCAGTGTTGACTCAGTGTTGACTTTGAAAATGAAAAGTGAAAACGCGGTTCTCCCCTTGCTAGTGGCCAGAGAGATTTTTAGGCGAGGCCAGTCAGGGACGGGGTTTTGCGGTTTCGGGCATGGGGTTTAGTTTAGGGGTTAGGCTCTTGGATGGTGTAGCCCTTCCGTCTGCGCGTAGGCCGCGCGCGGGGCACACCAGAAACGCCTTTGGTTTCCCAGCTTGGCGTGCCCACTGCGACATGGTGGGTTTGTTTGTTTCTATTTCTGCTTCAAGCTTCCAGGTTTCTGGGGGAGAGGCTGATTGCGACGTTAGGGTTTTCCTCACGTTTCGCCGGCCTAGGAAGTTTAAGAGATATTTGTGTCTTCGAAACGGAAATATCAGGTCGAACTGCACTTCATGTTCCCGCGGAAACCGACCCCGCAGTGACCTCGAGTTGCTGAAGTTCTGGAAAATGCGCTCAAACCTGGAGTTCCAACCATTGCCATTAGCACTTGCATACAAAAATACGATGTAACAACAAATGTGACACCTTGCTCCCATTTTCACGCTAGTTGTGCGAAGGATGTCGCTGACATGCTCCATCGGGCGCTCAACGGTGAGAAGGCACCTGAAAGACGCGAGAGGTTCAACAAAGAACAGTCAAAGAACTCTACAGGCAAAGAGTCGCTTGCAGGTGCAGGTGTAGCTAATTTTAGCTGCTGCTGTCTCACCAGTTTGACAGAGATGAGATGTGGCTCCAAGCCTCAAACATCAAATGCTGTGTGCTCTTGCCCTCGGACCTTTGACTGAGATGTTCTGGAGGTGGAAAACTTCAAGTTTTGCATCGAAGAGCAGGCGAGGATGGCCAGGCGTTCAATGCAAGGCGTGTTGGCAAGTCCCAAGAACTATAAAGGCAGTGTCTGGCTTCGTGCGTTGCGAGAGTTGCGAGGCTTGCACATCTTTCGGTGCTGCCGGGCCCGCTTTGAAACAAACTGCATGATACACTTGCCCTTGCATTCTGACGGGGCCATGGGTCGTGGACTATTGGGAGCCTTGCCTGTAGCTCCTATTTGTGTGGGCATAGTTAAGTGCTCAGAGTCGGAGCGGGACCTGAGAAAGTTTGGATTCGCGATGATGTCGCACACGCGTCGCGAGAAGGAACCCGCCCGCTGAATTAGCAGATTAGCAGCCTTGATCCATTGAAAATTCGGAAAGTTTGCAAAGTCTGCTATACGTCGACCTGCAGGAAGGTTCCAGACGCACGGTGCACCTGAATGCATCTGCCCGGCTGGGCGAGCATGGGGAGGCCGGGCGCCGGGCCGTATACAGGAGCTACGCATGGAGTTTCAAGAGCTGCCGAGGGGGGGGGCATGTTGCTTGACGAGATGCTTTTGTTTGGTTTCTTTGCCTGTGCAGGTCACTGGCGTTCTTTGCGTAGGCCAGGATGTGACAGAATTGAATCGAGCGCGGGACCCTGCAGAACCGCATTGTTCATACATGTGCATTTCGAACTGTGGCTTGAAGATGTGACGTCGAGGTCATGGCTGAACAACTGGGCATCGCAGAGGACAGCGGAATGAGTGCGGAATGTCGAGCCGGATGCTTCGCCACAGGGAGCTTGAGACGCAGAGAGTTTCTCCGTGGCTTCAGACTGGCAGAGGATTTGGCTCGGTTTGTGGAGACTGCCAATGCGCCAATCTTTGGAGCACCTTGCCTGAGCCAGACTGGGACAGTGCCAGAGCGCACTCCCGACGGTCGGTTCCTGAGGTCTCTCTTCAGGGGCATGCCCAGACCTCAGTTTTTTGTCCAAGCCTGATCGAGCTGTCACACTGTGAGAGACGGGCCATTTCCAAAGTGCCAAGTCGATCGCAGCTTGCAGCATGGACTCCTAGCGGTCCTAGCGCATCCAGACTTAGAACCGACATTGACGTGACCACATGAAGCACGCCACTGGCCTGAGCTGCAGCCGAATGACAACCCACTGCCTCAGCTCACCAAGAGCCCTGAGCCCACCCGCCCAACCGCCAACCCCAAACTTCGAAGACAGAGCCCTGAGCCTCCTTGCCATGTGGGCCACGTGGGCCTGGGGCCTGCTCGGAGCGATTCCTGGGCCGATCTCGGCCATTGAGCGCCTCAGCCTCCGCAGCGACAGAAAGGGGATAAGCGAGGTTCTAGATCCCACAGACCTGCGGATCTCGTGTAGATTTCAGAGAGTACTCAGATATCCCCACTCTTGCATCCTGTCCCGTGATACTGCGAGCTGTACTGCTCAGGGAGCATGCAGAAGGCTGAGAGGCCCTAGAGCGATTTTCATAGACTCTGCAATGCTGGTCGCTAAAGCGCACTGCTTCCAACAAGGGCATGCAGGATGCACAGTTGGTCGGGTGCGTCTCTCGCTAGGTTACGGGCTAGGGTTGAGCATCCTTGGGTGACACGGAGGAGAGAACAAGAAGAAACGGCGAGTGAACAGCAACTGCTGCAGCTTGGGTTGGAAGTACAGTGAGACCTAGTGCGCAGTCCATGGCCATTAAGGACTGGGGAAATTTTATCCGATCTGCAATCCTATGTGAGAGATCCCATCGCCCGGCACACCGCCTGCGCGGTGGATGCGGATACGCCCACAGCACTTCGTCACGAACCCGTGAGTAAATCCGCAGTCTGCCCAGAGTGCCTTGACAGTCCACGTTGCAGTTAACCTTGCGGCGAAGGTTTGCGTACTGGAGGGCTTCGTAGGCGGAACTACTGATCTTGAGCGACGCGGCTGCATCCCAGAGCAAGGCATTCCGTGCAACGCTCTGAGTTCGTTGTGCGGGCCTTGACCGAGTTACTATATCCTGACGCTTCCAGAAGAGGGCCTGTGCCAATCTTAGCGTTTGAAAGACGGGGGGTGGTCAGGCGATCGTTCCGTGCGCTTCCCTGGTCTTCGTAGCAGTGGTAACAGGTAGCAGTTCCTGAGGCTTTACGAGACCTCCCCGAACTTTCGCAGCTTCGGCTCCGAGCCCCTGCAGGTGCAGCGAGATGACCTTCGTCTTGCTTTGTCACCTGCTTTCCGCTGAATCCTCCACTGTAGGCACCAGACCCCATCGGTCCGCATCTGCTTCCCTTTCTGGTGACAGATCCGAAGCACCAGGTGGGAGTACCGCACTACACAGAGCCCTTACCTTTCACCCTGAACTGAGCTTGACGTTTGCATGGAAATCTTGCGAAGTCCCGCATGCTAATCCGGGCTGATCGGGTATTCGTGCAGGTCGTTTATGTCCCCCCTCAAAACAAATGGCCCACTCCGAATGCTTGGACGACGTGCCTCACTTGCACTGGTCGAGTGTTCTGCCAACGCGACGGACAACTTTGCATTTCTGGAGCTTCATTTTCTCTCCTGCAGCTCTAAAGAAAGCCCAAATCACTGCAGTTGCGCCGCTGCTGCCACCATATGGCCGAGGTTCACATTCGTCGTGCGGTCGCTTATTGGACTTAGTCAAGGCTGGAGGATGTCATGTGGACAGTTGCACTTGGGATGGTGCTGTGCGACGTGGTCTAGATTCAACACAACAGCTAGCCTCAACCAGCGTGTATCCCTGATCGGCAGATGGCGAAACCATCATCGATGTCCAATCTGAACCAGGTCTCGTTGTACTAGCCACGGCCCCGGAACAAGCCGTAACGGCCTTGCTGACGCAATGGCCTTGCTGCCTCAGGTTAACCCTCATCGGCAAATTGCCGGCTCTGACTTTAATCTAGCCGTGGCCTTAGAAGTGGCAGGTCTTGTGCGGCTAGCAGGCTTGTGGCCCTGAAATCACTGACTCAGGCAGATGGAGCGGATGGCTGGACAGTATCCGGTCAACTTGAAGTTGTGGGAGGCTGGGGGAAAACTCGGCTGGCTGCCGATGGACTTGCGTGTTTGAAGCGTGCGTCGAAGTGCAAGTGAACACTGCTGGCAACAGGAAACACGCCCAGTGCTGGGGTGAGGCACCAGGCTGTTTCGTGGGGTGGCCTGAACCACTACATTTATGGCAGCTCGGCATTGTCAAGAATGCATCAACATACGGACCATCCTCCCCTGAGTGACAGCCAAGGTGCCGACGAAGTCCAAAGCCTGGACTTCGCCACTGGCATTGATCTAGCCAAGTGGTACTTCGAAGCGTCCCCGAGTGTTTATCACAAGAAGGAGCCACCTCCAGTCAGGGGCGCATGTGCTTTTCGCATGAAACCTGTCCGCTGTGCAATCGACTGTTTTATCAGCCCGTTTTGTCGTTCTCTGTCTCAGAAACGCTCCGACGACATGTCCTGGGCTTTGTATGGCATGGCTTGCAGGAGATGGCAGTGGCATATGGAGGAACTTTGCGCTTCCGGATCCGCGCGCAGTATGGCGAGTTCCTGGAGTTGACGCTGGTCGCGCACAACTCGAAGCAAACTCATAAGCAAAACGGCTGTGGCAGAGCTGGTGTGGGTGATTGATGGTCGCGGCGGGGATTTGAGGAGGTTGTGATGGTGGTGGTACTAGTAGATTTGTAGTGGCCGAGCTGAGAGTGTTTGTGGCGGCTATGTGGTGGTGGTGGCGATGGTGGTGACGGTGGTGAAGAGCATGATAACGATCGCGGCAACGATGACGATGATGCTGCGATATTGTCAGGCAGCCACGGGTCACTGCTGTAGATCATGCAATGCTTGAAGTTGCAGCATCCCGAGTGATATCCGAGGAACGATCCTTTGGACTGGGTCACAATCGAGTGTGAGCTCGCGCCCTCAGGGGTTAAGATTGTGCATGTGTTGAAGAATCCGACATGCGTGCTGCCCGAGACTGTGTTAGCCAATGTGCCAGAAAAACGAAGATGCAGCTGAGCTGCGCGCTGGACACATCTGGGCACGATGTCTGTCTGCAGGTCCTGCGACACAGGCCACGGTGCTCGCATAATTCGTGGCTCGGTTCGCAAATGGAGGTCTCTCAACGAAACCATCGGGATGTCAACGGAGTGTCGCAGCATGTAGCATCCGCAGCAGAACGCAGGAACATTGAATCAAGACAGCTTTGCTTCTGACTTCGGCATTGTTGGAAGGTTTTGTGGACGATACCCTGCGCTGGATCGGGAACGAAGTCTACATGGAGTTCCTGCTGAATGAAAACGGAAGGCTGGTGCATGCACATAGCTTAATGGGCCGGGCGGCAGTCAGGTGTTCTAGCTCCACCGAGCAGAAGCAACTGCACAACACGTTTTGAGGGATGAGCTGCCGCCGGCAGGTGGTCCTACGACCCCCTGAATTCTGCTGCGGACTTCCAATATGCGACAGCATGCCAGATCGCGGCCATCTTGACGCTAGGCCAGCAACTTTTTCGATTCGGCCCATAAGTTTCGGAGGCCAGTGAAGATCGGAAATGGGCATGCTGAAGAGAAAGTGCGGCACAACGCAGCATGACACACCGTGCAATTTCAGAGTGCTTGCTTTGTGAGAACTTAGGACAAACGTTTCCAGAATCGCAATTCTTGGCGATTTCACTCGAGGCGCCCTGTCATGGAAATGCCCGATTGCATCTCTTTGTTGCTTTTGTCTCTCATTCCCTTCGTGCCTACCGGTTGGCCGAATGGGATGCCACAGAATTGCCGAACTGGAGTGCTGGAAGATGACCATTCCCGGTCTGCGAGATTCAGGTGGCGAGGGTATAGCCTTGGACGACGTGGCCGTTGTGGCTGCAGATGCTTCGGAGCTACTTGGCTCCAGTGGAGACTGCAATCTGTGCTGAGCTGATTTAAGCCTTCGAACCTTTGATTCATGTGCTTATGGGCGCGAAAACGCATGCATAAGAAGATGCAGTTGCACACTAAGACGAATCATCTGCCCTGCGTGTCAGGCAGCCGGCGTACCCACTGGCTTGCCAGCAGGCACAGACAAAGAAGTTTCCAATCAGAACCTCAGTGCGTACAAGATCCAGCATCTCTCTGCACGTAAGCAGGGGCTGCGAAAATCCCGAAACGAAGTGTTGCCACTTGATGGAACAACGATTACCTAAGCAGAAAAGCTGTGTTGGGGCGGTGTATGACATATAGGCATATAGGGCCTGAGCCCCCTGAGCTTTTCTCTACAATTGTTGTCTGTTCCGCGATTATGCTGTGAAATTATCTTAGTGTGGCCGTTTTGGCCCGATTGGAGTTTATAGAAGTACCGCCATTTGTTAGCAGTATTGTTCTTGATCTCGGCAGGGGCGATACCATGCGGGGGGATCATGATGGGCGTTGTGTGGCGTCCACTTTGCTATTTTGTGCCTGTCTTGCGAGTAGGGCGAAGCTTCCCAGCGCTCTGTCCATGTCGGTCTTTTCCCAAGCTTTTTCGATCTTCTTTCATAGCTTTACAGTCGACGTAGCTGGTAGGCTTGGCTTACGCGGTATTTCGTGGAAGCTTGGACATCCTCTGTCCTGACTATAACTCCTGCCGTGCCGGCAGGGCTGCATTTGCCGCCACAACGCTGCGCTGATCCATCCCACGTGCTGTTAAGCAGCCTCGTCACAAGAGGCCATCAGATTTTCTGGATCTCACAGTGCAGGCTGCATCGACTTCGAACAGGCCTCATGCATTAGATTACCCTGGCGACGTCTGAGGCGCCGAACCTTCCTCCTTTGCATCCAGAACTGGATGCCATCCTGGCAAAGTCTTCAGAAGTGAGATGGCTCGGGTGTTGGAGCAGGTGGCCAGCAGGCCTAGTGACGGCCGAGCGTGCCCCATTGGCGCAGGAAAAGAGCTGACCTCAACTGGCTTATTCACATCGCTGCCGGTACCTTCAGAAGTAGTTCTTGAAGGATTGCAGGCTTTGCACGAGATAATGTCGCGTTTAGTCGGCAGTCGGCGGGCCCGACAAACAGGCTGGCCGCATTCACCTGTGGCTCAGCGAGAACTGTTGTTTGGCATACTGGTTGCAAGTGTGTTGCACGTTCTTGAACAGTGAAGGGCGGGCGATGTTGCAAGCAGCACTGCTAGTGCAACGCAGCATGTGCACAGTCGTATACGCAGTGGCCGCGTGGCATCAGCCATTATCCGACCAAGGTCGTGGAATGGAATCGCAAAGCTGCATCGCTGTCTGGCTTTGCCAAGGTCGTGCTTCTTGCTGATGTGTGTCTTGTTGCAGTCACAGCTGTCACCAAACGAGCTTCGAGTTGGATCAAGCGGTAGTTGACATGCTGGGAAGCAGCCTTCGAGCGGCCATGAAGCCTCAAAGACAAGGCGCTCGCACACTGCTTCATCTGCGTGGCACAGACGTGCACGGACTGTAGATGCGAGTGGCAAGCGAGCAACATGCCCAGTAGCTTCAGGTTCGCCACCAGGTCTCTTCATCAGCTGACCCCTTGCCCCTCGCCCCCTGTAGGTGCATGGTACATGAAGTACTTTGCCATGCGGCGAGAGTCATCCTCACTACGCCGTTGTACATGTCAGCAGCAGCAGCAGCATCGTGCTCCAGGGTTCCGAAAGCAATGGCTGAGGAAGCGGAATTTGAAGAGGCCGCAGATAGCTGCAGCAAGCACCACGGTGGCGCGATTTCGCAAGCCAGCCAGTGCCAGGTGGATGTTAATGAGAAGGACTTGTACAAAATTCTTGGAGCCACTAGGATCTGCAGGAAGGCTTGCCAGGCTTCTGGTGCTCTTCAGTAGACGATCTCTTGTTGCGACTCTCAGTAAGAACTTGAAGGATGACTGTACACTAGCTTGTCCAAGGTTTCGAGAGGGGCCAAGGCAGACGAGCAGCCTGGCACCAGACAGCTTGTCTGCCAGAGTGCAGCTTAGCAGCTTGCACGACGACCCTTGCTAGTACGGAACTGAGGCTCAAGAAAGCTTATCGACAAAAATCGTTGAAATACCATCCCGACAAGAATCCGTCACCAGACGCGAAGCTCAAGTTCCAGAGAATAGCGGAAGCGTATTCAGTCTTGTCCGATGACAAGAAACGGCTCAAGTATGACAAATCTGGCGACATGGACTTGGAGGACTTCGACATGGACCAGTTTTTGAACATGTGGGTGGGTGAGATGATGGAAGATGGGGGCATTGTGGACGACATGATGCAGTCTGTACTGCCATGGAGTGACGATCATGAGAAGATGCAGCAATTCATGGACGAGCCGCTCATCTTCTTGTGCAGTGTCTGCCATATGCTTTCAGAGAGACAGATCTGGACACTGGTCCTTTTGCTCGCCTGCAGCACGTACATCTCGGTGCACTAAGGAATATCGTCTCCAAGGGCGGGAAGCTTCAGTGTCAGATTTGTGGACACACAGGTTCCAACAAGCGGTTGATGATGATCCACTTCGAGCGGAAGCACCTCCACGACTGTGAGGAGTGGGCGAAGGAAACTATCAAAAGCATGAGCCCTGGAAGCTTCAGTTTTTGTGTTTTTTCGCAGTTCAAGCCGCCGCAGTTCAAGCAAGCCGAACAGTCGCTAGCGAAAAAGGAAGAACTCGTTTGAGTCCTTCATGAAGCAAGTCACTGGCATTGGCGACCCTTCTGGTGAGTTCTTACTGCCTGACGGCACCAAAGCAGATGTGTCGAAGGCACCCAGGGCTTAGGAACTTCGCTGTTTGCGAAACCCAACTTCCTGCTTGTACGGTTTTTAGGCTAAGTGCTCCCAGAGTCACGTCAAAGTGAGAGGTTTGCATGCCGCAACTCGCTATATAGTCTTTGTAGATTGTAGGTTTTCACTATCACCGCCTCCGTCACATTGGATTTGGTTGACTATTCCCAACAGCGTGGTCACACACCACGGGTCCTCTTCAGGGGGTCTTAAGGTGTGAAGACGGAGTAGCAAGGGTCAGCCGGTCAGCACGAAGCGTGACCCGGCGCAGCCTGCGGGGTTCCGCAGCTCCCGCTTTGGCAGTGCCCGTTTTCGATGGAAGTGGACTGAAGTCGCATTCTTTCCACAGTCCCAACGTGGCCCCGTCCTTAGATGTCCAGCGCACAATTCATGGAACGCCGCAGTCCCGAGCTCGTGTTGGGGGATCTGAAGGCTTGAACTTACTTGGGCCGAGGGCTCCTGAGTGCGGGTTTGAAATTTCGGCCGCTCAAAGGGGTCATGCAAAATTCACGAATGTCGAAATTACGCTTGCCACAGTGCCGAATCGTCCTCCAGCAGTGCACATCGGGTGGCACGGTGCAATGCGAATTTTGAGGTACCAGTCGTGCTCCCGCCGAAGTCAGAGGGGAATATTCTGTGTGTGACGTTAGTAGGGCGTGGTGGCCTTGAGAGCCTCTCTGTTGGGCTCTGGAGCGCTTTTTGGGTAATGCCTGTGCCTGGCTGCAAGGTGCCCTTGGCCTGACTGTTTGAGGTTCAAACTAGCATAGTTCAGAGCTGCCCTGGACGCTGTCGTTACACTGTAGTTTGTACGTTGGCGAAGAGTTGAGGAGAGTGTAGGTCGAGAGCGCTTGCACCCGGCTGGGCCTTCTTTGTTCAGGGTAGTGCGGGTAGTGGCGACCTGCCAAGTTGGCAAAAATCCCTTCTAACTGCTATACGGCTTGGAGGTACCAGTCCCAGACATACGAGCCCACATGCAAAAGCGCGTGGACAAGGCCAAAGCATCCTGGAATGCATCGGCTTGTCAGGCTTGTCCGGTCTTATTTGCTGCAGTCAGCCAATCCCTGCTCTCGACTGTCCGAGTCGATCCTATGAAGATGCTGTGTTCAGCATCTCAGGTGTTGGACGAGGTGCTGGAGACGCAACCATCCAGCAAATCAGGTGTACAGAAGTAAGCGTTCCGGGCTTGCGGACTCATGCAGGCTGGGCTTTGTCGTGTAGATCTTAACTTCGTCGATGGTAGGCGTGTTTTCGATCAGATGAACAAGCGGTTCTGTGAGAATGGCCTGCAATCAAGACTAGTGCCAAGAAGTTGGAATCTGCTTGGCGTGCACAACTATAGCCGTCATCGCCACAACTTGAAGGCTTTGCAGGATGAAAGCAGGCTGCGACAATGCGGCCTTGCAAGAAACACGGCAGACTCTGACCTTTGAGTATGCAAGAACAGCCAGATTAAGCCAGCAATCAATCGATCAACCATCCTGAATGCCAAAGCCAAATGTGCACTGTTATGATCAGACGCAGTTTTGAAGGTATCGTGTCGTGGCTGGTTCCGAGCTCTCCGGCAATGACGGACCTGTCGCTGCTGAGGTGCGGAAGAAGTGGAGCGCCACATGCTGTCAGCGATTAAAACTCTTCGATAGTGAAGGGATAGGATAGTGTAGGAGAGCAGGTTGTTGCTGCGGTGCGGTTCGAAGCCGGGGTAGCCCTGCCGATGCTCATGCTTTGCTTGGCTCAAGGAGCAAAGCGAAGTCAAGCGGCCAACGGCTCTGCCGGAGCCGAAGAAGCTCTCGGATATTCTGGGAGTTCCTCTGGAGGAGGCCAAGGCCTTGAGTCAAGATAAGCCGCGGCTTCTGCGCCGCTTGCAGAAACGTATTGAGGAGTTGAACGAGGCCGGCACCAGCAAAAGTGAGTTTTTGGTCAAAGGTCCCTCATGAGTGACTCATGTGCCGCACAGGAGGAAGATGAAGCAGAGGTGAACCGTCTGTCACAGACTTCGCCAGCGCAAGTCTTGCTGTAAGCCGGCTGTCTAGACTTTCGACGCCGGGCAGGACCTACTGGGCGGATTCACAGAAGGCGCTTGGACGCGTGCAGTCATCCTCAATGGCAAAACATAACCCGGTACCAGGCATGGGCTTCGGCTTGGACGGCCTGGATGGGCTGGAGGCTCTCGGTACTCTTTGCTGTCCCTCTGACATTGACATCCTGGAACAGTCGTTGCTAAGCCCTGCAGAAGAAGCTCCTGTGGCAGTGCACGAGTCTGACTATGTGGGTCTACTTTGCCTGTAGCTCTTCAATTGCTACTTTCGGCGCAGACGATAATTGAACCAAACATGAAACCTGGCTTGTCCGGCACCCGCACACCTGCACGCCGGCACAGCCGCACGGACCCGACAGTACTTGTAGCAAGTCGTCGCAACCCTCATGTAGCCTGAGATGCTTGCAGCTCACAGTAGTGTGTGGAAGCCCGACAGCAAAGGTAGTTCATTCCACTTCATATGCCGACTAAATTCGGTCACAACGCTCCGTTGAAGTCGAGCACGTTTTGGGCTCGTGTGGGCTCGTCGGCGTGGGGAGCGTCTGAACCAAATTCTGACGATGTCACGCAAGGGCAGGCGTTGGCATCGGGTGCGGAAGGGGTGAAGGCTTTCGTACCGATTCCACAGCAACGCAGCAAGCAAGCTAGCGGGAGATCTCAATCGTCCGATTTGTCGGGTTGGGCAGTTCAGTTCCTCGAGCTGCATGTTGCCCTCAGTCTGTGAATTCTGCTTCGGCTCTCCCGGATGCCCCGGGCGGCCAATTGCCTTTTTCAAGCCTTTGAAACTCGAAGAAGAGGAAGAGGAAGCTTGCGGGCCTGCCACCCATGAAGAGCTGTGGCCAGGAGTCGGACTGCACGCAAAAACAAGCGAACAAATTAGCGTTCGCCGGGAATCGGTTGGTTGGGACCCATAGGTAGACGGAACGGACGAACATTCTGCAGCTTCTGCCGGCTGCATCATCAATTCCAAGTGACGCTGACCCGCCTCGACATCAGGTTACTCTTCTATTAAGAATTAGCTCGCCTTCTCTGGTATCTTAAGACAACAACTGAGTTACCAGGCTTCATCACACATCGTCCGAAAATATTCTTGCTGTGACAGGGGCGAGATGCCTCGAAGGACAAGAAAATCAAAAACCAGGCAGGCGAACAACCTGCTGGAGGTGAGCTCGGGGAGTCAGACAACTTCAGGCCAAAAGGAGCAAAGAGTACCTCGTATACACTCTGCATCACTTCAGCCAGGGAGCAGTTGCTAACACCTCCAATGACGGCCGGGATATCACACGTGCAAGACGGCAACCAAAGAAACGGCACAAGCAGGGGAGACAAGACCGGGTACGGAAGGAGATGAGAGCGTTTACGCTGTTCACCAATTCTACGGGGATAAAGATCCGACAGCAAGCCACTTACGAGCACCTCGTCAGGATTTGCTTGGTGCTTCGGGCATGCCACCTGCCCTTCAGCGGCTGCTGGGTGAGGATGCCGACTTTGAACTCGAAGCATTCAAGGACAGATATCATGGGCCGGGCCGAGACGTCCGAGTCAATCCCCCGCATTTTCTTCGTGAGGATGTTTTGGGGTCGCCTGGCTCCTTCCCGCCGCACTTTCTGGAAGGGGGTCTTGACCGCGGAAGGCTGGAGGCGACCAAGTCGAAGCAGAGCAGTGCGTTGCGGCGTTGCGGCGTTGCGGCGGTGTGGTTGCAAAGAGCATAGGAAAGCGCCAGAGTTCCAGCAGGACTTCTCGGAGATGCAAAGACTGCTGGGAGGGCCCCAGGGCCGGCCAGGCCGGCCGGGCCTCGCAGAGCTGCAGGCGGCGGCGCGCTTTTCAGAGCCGGATGAGCCTCATATGAGCTTCCCTCACACGTCGGTAAGACCACGTTGCACCATGTTGCACGTTTACCCGTTGGCTCTGGCTCAGTGGCGGACATGCAGCTCCGCGTATTTCGTAGCTATAGACGGCAAGGGCAGGAACTTCACATTGCATTGGTTTGCCGACCAATCTTTCGTCATGGTGCCACGACTCGGCGGAAAGCTTTACTTGTCTCAGAAAGCGATGACTCCCACTGTGGGCGACGCTGTCGATAGCCACTTGCGCAGGCTTGCTCCGTTTGTAGCCATGAGAACCAAGCTTACCTTGAACTTTTTGATGCGACGCCTGGCCAGGCAACTCCTGACCGCAGAAGGCTTCGAGTCGCTGCGTGCGGAGCTGGCAGAGTTCCAGCACCGGATGAAGGCTTCGAGCGGGACGGCTTTAAGTACTCCACATTGGCTGCGATTTCGGATGTCGTGTCGATGGCAGGTCAAGCTGGATGGTCTTCAAAGTGCCCTTTCCACACGAGAAGGCGGTACACAGCCAGCTACAGAGATCGAGGAAGATGCTCCTGCTCCCAGGCTAAAAATCGAATATAGATATTGTAGATGATATTGATACAGATGCTGTCCGGAGCAATGCAGGCACCATGATGCTGCCGAGACGCTAACATATTGGAGGTATTTGTAGCCAGAATCTAGAAATAGGAAAACTCCAGATGGGAAAGTTCAATGAGTAAAGATGCCTGTAGGGCCGTCGGTATGATGCCATGAGCTCGTCCAGTGTCCAAGGTATCTGAGCCGAGCGCTCTGCTCGGCCGCAAAAAGACGAATCAGGATGAACTCGGCGACTTCTCCAGGTGCACTGCAGCCTGCAGCCGTTGCCTGCAGTTGCCTGCCACGATGTTGTCGTGCAGGCGCTACGCCGTTTGCTTTGGGGAAGTTTCGAGCCGAGAGATGAGACTTCACTCCAGATGGATGGAGCGGTCATATCGAGATGGCAGCCTAGACTCCGTAAGGACGCGGATGCGGGAGTCATCACAGGCTTTTATCGAGAGCGAGCAGCTCCAGCCTGCGACCAAGGACGCCTGTTGCAAGTTAAGCAAAGGTTGCCAAAGAAGGCAGGCCAGACAGGCGGGATGGACCTCCAGTTTCAGAGCAATCCAGCACATCCAAGTTCGAGCGAGGACACTGTTTCGCGGCTGGGACCGTGGCATCCAGACGGTCGGTTTCGCCTCGTCTGGGATGCGACGGGCTCCTTCCTCGTTCTTGCCGACGCTTTCATCTCGCCCCTGCAGCTGATAAGTTGCCACGGGCATGTAGACTTGGCTTCGAAAGTCTGCTCGTCAACGGCAACGGCGACATAGCCATGCATTCACGTTAAGTCATGGGTGAAGTGGTACTACTCGTCGAATTTCGTAGAGCATACCACGTTCTTCGCAAATCGTAGCTTCGCAAGACCCTCGGGCTCAACACGGGTTCGACCAAAAGGCTCATCGAACCTGGCAGGCAACCACAGTTTTTTCCATGGGCCGATGAATGTGCTAGAAGGTCGCAGGGCCGGGGCATGAAAGGGATGAAACAGAAGCAAGGGAACGATGGACCAGTCGCTTGCAATGCCGCAGTTCTGCAGTTCTGCACGCTCTTCGGAGCTATGTAAGAAGCAGGATCAAGGAGGATGTAGTGCAGACCTCAGCTTCGAACGGCTGTAGCCCTAGCTTCGAAGAATCTTTACACAGAGGGTAGTATAGACAGGGTGCTGCACGAACTCTTGGGGCCAAGCCCAACACATGTCTCTGTTGCCTCAGGCCAGTGGCGTTGGCTTGGGACATTCCGCATTCCTCGAACGTTGGCTTGACTCTCATGTTCTGGTGCGGGCTAGTTTTCTGGTCATGCGACATCGCCGCGAACCTCAACACAGCCATATATGTGCGAGGGAGGCTGGTGCGTGACCGGGCCGCGATTGCCTTGAGCTATCTGAGCACTTGGGCAATTTTCGACGTGTCCCTGGTCACGCTAGATCTGGCAAATGCTTTCGCAGCCGACACAATTTCCGCCGCGGCAGCATTCCGTTTGGCCAGAGTCATTCGAGCCTTCCGCCTCCTGCGGCTGCTGAAGATTGCTCGGCTGCAGACTGTCGTGCAGGAACTAGCAGCATCCACAGGGCGGCAGTGGCTCATGCTGGTGATTGCCATCATCAACACCACGTTTGTTCTTCTCGTAGTTGCGCACATGCTAACCTGTATTTGGGTTTGGCTCGGCCGAAGCACGCAGTCAGAGGGCAGAGAGAGCTGGATCGACATCGCTGGAGCGGCGACACTTTCTATTCCTTTGCAGTATCTGCATTCCTTGCGGTATGTGATGAATTCTCCATCCCCACCGACGATAGCGCCAGACAATGGTCAGGAGCGATTGTTCGACATCCTGACATATTGGCGTTCCGATTGCACTAGGGACGGACGATCAGGTTTCCTCAGAACATGGCTAGTTCGTGGGTACATGATCTTGCGTTTTCCGTGGGAGCGTCGTTGAAACGGTCTTGCCCGGTCTCTGTCACAAGCGTCTGAACCTCTTGCATCAGAATCAGGTTTTCGATTTTGGTGATGGGTACGACGATTTCCACCATTGCTGGGTCTCTTCACGACCTCCGCGCCATGAATGAAGCTCGTGCACGGCAGCGCCGGGAGGTCCGGCTCTACTTAACAGGCCGGCGAAAGGGTTTGACTGCAGCGCACATACCGCTCGTGCGTTAAAGAAGTGCTGTTGGTACCGCGCGCGTGTACAGAATGTGTTGAGGACAGCACAGCCAGTTGACATCTGTTGCTTGAAAGGCCAGAACGCCTCCTATGAGCTCATTTCCAGAATCATGAAGCCCCTTGGATCCGTTTGTCTCGCCCGGACTTCAGGACATGAAAAAGGCAATGTTTAGAGTGCACTTTGCCTCTGACCAGGGCTTAGTCGCAATTCAGCATCGGGTTTTTTCTGGGACTGTGCGCCCGGGTCTTCTTGGCAGATTCTCTGCTGCCGCAGCATGTGGGCGCCCTCCCCTCCGCTCCCACCCAGGGTGGGGAGCCGTACCACCACCCCCCGCCTTCCTCCCAACTTCAGGGGCGTGGGGATGCACCGCTACCCGCCCCTTGTCCGGGAAGAGCATTAGTATAGATATGTTAATGCTACAATTGTTATTCGTACTACTCGTATTACTCTTATTGTTACTATAAGTATCAGTTGCTATCGTTATTGTAGGGGAGGGGCGGTTTGGTGGTCGGGGGGCATTTGGTTGGGGCGGTGGTGGTGGTGGTCCACTCCTCCCGGCAGCCCGAAGAAGGAGGCATTCCAGCCTCTCAGTCTCAACTTATTGTTTTAACAGCGTTTTTTCGAGAGCTTCGGAGGGCAGTGCCAGCCTTGCACCATTTGGAAGACACTGACCGCTATGCAACAGTTTTGAAGCCTTCAGACCCATTTTTGGAGCCTTCCCCGAAAAGCAAAGCAAAGCATCCATGAATAGCTCTAGCACTTGAGGTTCTGAATTTTGCCAGTGGCAGTCAATCTAGCTGCCGAACCTGTCGTTAAAGCTAGGTTTCCTGTTGGAACCTCAGTCCTTCCCGAGGTTCGTGGATTACAAGCTAGAAAGGACACTAGCAGTTCAACTCGACCCGACATTGATTTCGCCGACTCTGCAAGCGGAGCTCTTCGTTTCTCAAAGATCTACTTTCTTGTGCAATATTCCAATATTTTCCGTCGCAGCAGACGTATATCCGGATGTTTTCGCCAAGATCTGTGCGGCCTTGCAGAAGCAGGCCTACGAGAAGGGAGAGTGCGTCTTCATGGTGGGGGACTTGGCAGACCGGTTGCACATCACTGCGGCAGGCGTCTTCGAGCTCGATGAGGCACCAATGAAAAACCACACCAAAAGAATCCAGGGGGAAGAGGCCCATTGGTTCTCAGAGATTGGCCTTTACGCTGAGTTTGTTCTCCACACAGCGACGCTGAGAGCCCGCAACATCGCTGAGGTGTTTACTCTAACGGGCGACGACTTGCTGCTGTGCGTGCATGGCTCACCCAGCTCTACGGCCATGTTCTATGAGTATGCCAGGGATTTCCTCGCGATGCAGGAAAGCAGCCACGGTAAACATCATCGCCAGGTGGAGTATGCACAACTGTGCTGTGACAAGAACACGCACTACCGAAGCCTTCGCCCTGATGAGAGAAAGCTTTTTCACAACATCGACGTGAGAAGCCATGTGCAAGATTTGCAGCACACAGACAGCCCTTGGGATCCATGGGAGCAATTAGCTGGTCTCATGGGCGATGTCAGAAGCAGAAGCCAAGATGCGGGGCTGGATGCCTGCGAAGTGGGCAGGCGGCAAGTGTCCTGCATTCTGTGCTATGTACGTGTCTGCCCTGTGATGTCCAGAAGCCCCGTGCATCCACGTGCCTGTAAGAGGGTCTTGAATGATCTTTAACCGACTAGGGCCTGACTAGGCACCCTCTGAATGGCAAGCCGACAGTTTCCGAGAGGCAGCTGCAGACCCTGCTGCCCGAGCTTCACTGCGCCGTCGGTTCATACGCTGTATTCGAGGAGTTTGCTGCCAGGGATCAGGCAGAGTCTGCCTGTGTGAGCACCGTCGCTCTGCTTTGCAACCGGTACGACATCTACACAGAGCAGCAGCCTGAAGGCGACAAGCTCTCCTTGCCCCTTGCAAGAAATAGCCTTTCTCCCATCCATTCTCCATTCGCCTGTTCCTCGTTTTTGTCAGCTCAGGTCACAGTGGGAGCAGCTCCAGGCTCTCGTGACGTGGTCGGCGCCCTCGGAGGGAGAAAAGTTTGCCGTGCTCGTACTTCTTGCGATCAGAGCCTTGGGTAAATCCAGGGCGGTGCGGCAGCAAGCGTCTCAGGCAGATCCAGACCGTGCCGTCTTGTATCTCATGGACTCAGCGCGAACAGTCGTGCCTTCCGTTGAATGCCTGGAAGGCAGAGACCCTGCCATGGTTGACCTGCTGCAAGAAACAGTGCTAGCCCAGGAAGTTTTCAAGCTCGCTCAGATGATGCAGGGAGAGAATGTCCCTGGCAATATTGCAGAGCTGAGAGACTTCTTCATGCACCGTAGTACGACCACATTCAGGTTTTACATCTTCTATCTCCTCGGATTCATGAGTGGTATCTCGGGTGGCCATGGCTCCAGATTTATGATTGCCAGGAATGCTGGCGCTGCCATTTCTGCCATTCACATGCTGAAGCACTTGCTGGACAAATCGCCCTCGGGCATCTACTGGAGTTATCTGATCTCTCGTGCTCGCCCAATGGGCCTTCAGCACCGCACGCCAGAGGAACTGGCGTTGGTTCGCCTTGCTTGTTTGAGCCGTGTCAGCGATGCCCCTGGGCTTACCACCTTATGGCACTCGTGGCAAGCTTGCACCTCTTCAGAAAGGAAGCTTCTTGTGGACCATTTCCTCATGGACGGAATTCAAGAGCGTGCGTTTGTCCTCCAGTTCTTGCCAGACTGCATATCCAGTGCACGCGCCAACGCCTTGCTGGGTCTCACAGTGCTTCTGCAAGTTCTTGTGGATTTGCTCAGCAACCTCTTCCCTGCGGTAGAGAACATGCCCGTGTTGCGACGCAGGCAGATAGTTACCGTCGACCTGTCGGACTTGAGTGCATTTGCAGCTGCCGTGCGCAACAGATTCATCTTTCGCACATGCATCTCTCGTTGCAAAGTCCATTGTACACAGACAGCAATTCTGGTTCAGATGGCAGATGAGAATTGGACGCGGGCGCACCAGCAGGAAAATGACTTCTCCAATCTTGCGTACGGTCTGCGCGACATACTTGTTCAACAGAGCTTTCCAGACGAGCCTCGTTCCGTAGAAGCTATCGACACCGAAAGGGTGTGACTCGACAGCTTTGCGAAGAGCTGCTCAGCACAGGCTGAGACAGCTGACATGTTTTGTGTTTAGGACTGCCTTCGTGGCTAGTGAGCCTGCAAACAAAGGAAGTGTTCAGGCGAGTTAGTTGGACCCACTGCGCCTTTACGATGCCTAATCTGCTTTGCAGGGCATTACCTGCTGAGCACTTCCTTATGGCAGGCTCAACTTATCCCGTCCAAGGCACTCCAGCATCCCTGAGGATTCTATCTCTCAGGCTTTTATAATGACAAGCTTCCCGTTACGTGGCTCTCACAGGCTACTTCTGTTTGAGCTCGTTTCTGTTGACTCAAGTTTCCGAATGTTCCACAAACAAGAGCGAAAAGCGAAAAGAGGGTTTATTCCCACAATCTGCTGTTGTCGAGCAAATGCCTCCGCTTGCCAGCTTATCCCCACCCTCTTGTGGAGGGATTGCTTACAGCATACTACAGCACTCGGCTCGCATCTGAGTCATGACATGTTGCCTGTTGTGGAAGGCGTTGGGTGGTTTTGGGCCCGGCGGGTTTTCAGGGGCGACTGGGCCTGCAAGGTTTGTGCTCAACCATGCTCAACTTGGCCTGCTGCATCTGGTGCTTTCGACCCAAGGATGTCTATAGATCGCCTGCCAGCGGTGGCCGCATGCCGGTTGCCGTGGATGACGACTCAGAGCCCGAGATCGGGTGCATCTGCGGCTATACTTGCGGAACCGAGAAGGCAACAGAGACTGCACACGAGAATGTGCGCATGGCGAGACTCGCTGTGCAGGCCCTGGCAAGACACCTGGACCGCTTTCCTGGTGATCGGCTGCATGCGCGGAAATGAAGTGAGCGTTTCACTCAGGTGCCAAATCCCCGTTTGCGAGCCTCCCTGGACACAGCTTACGTGTAGAAGCCACAGAGGCTGCATCACCATGCTCAAGAAGCATGAATGGCACACAGCAGCAAGGGCAGCTTGCATGTAGAGGTTTCACCGTCGTAGTTAGGCCTTCGAGAGACGACTTCAGTCAGGCTCGTGCACAGGCAAGGGTCCCGACTTCACGTCATAGTCGGCACGGGGGAATTCCAGCATCTGGTGCTGAGAACAGTTGCATCTTGGAGATGCGCAAATCAAACAGTTTGTCTTCTTGATGATTGCGAGGAGGAGGCTTTGGGCCAAGCTCTTGTGGAGGAGCTGCTGGCTTTTAGGCTTTGGAAGATTTCCACGCCTGCAGCAGAGAGTTGCAACAGTGTGTCCGGACTTGGACCGTCTTGTGCGCAGAAGTTCAACGAGGTATGTCAAGGTCAGCAAGCCAAAGGATTATGACAGGGGATGATTTTGCAGCCAATTTGTTACATTGTCTGGCATGATCTCTTCTGTGATTAGATGCTGTCCTTCAGCCTCGAGTACATCACACTTGTATGCTGACAGAGCGTGCTGTGCTGTGATTTGCCTGCTTCGATCGAAATTTGCACAGCCCCAGCCGAGCCTTTGCCAGCAAGGAGATTACGCTGTGCGTGTCTTTGTGTCAGAAAGCCTTGTAAAGATGCCAGTCCAGGTGATGACCTGATCATGGCAGCACGAACATCAGCCGGCTGGCACACTGTGCCAGACACGCTTGCATCTCTCCTGCAAGATCAGCTTTGAGTCTGAGTTGCTTTCGTTAGCAAATGAGGGCCGGATGCGTGAAGAGACCAGCAACACAACTCTTCCTCACAGAACTGTGCGAAGTGCATGAGTTTTAAACCTGACCCCCGGAAGCAGCTTATGTGAGGCCACAATCTTGTCAGCAGTTTTTGTGCCAAAAGCATCCATTCCTTCAAAGATTATTTGGATTGCTCGGGTTTATGGTCGTTCCTCATGTATGTATCATTGCGGTAGCATTTCCTCGCCGCGAGCTATTTTCCGGCCGTAGGCAAAGCCAATTTTCCGCCCTTGGCCTTGACCCTATGCTTTCGCCCTCTATTGATCAGTAACACCCGTCTGTCATGTTTTCCAGAATGAAGCTCCGAAGCTGCGAAGACGTAGAATTTGCCAAGCTACCAAAGAGCCGCCCGAAGCGGCTCCAAATTTTTTGGGTTTATTAGCGCTTAGGATTTTTTGGTTCAGGGCTTCGGGTTCTTCGGTTTGAAGCTTAGGGTTCTTGGGTTGGTTTGAGGCTTAAGGTTCTTAGATGTGGGCCTTGGGGGTATTTGGGGTTTTAAGGCTAAACAGGCTTCGGGTTCTTGGGTGTAGTAGCGTTTGAGGCTGAAGACTCTTGGATGTAGAGCATAGTCTTGGGATTAGGCTTCTTACTTACAGTATAGCATAGTATAGTGGAGTATAGCTGTATAACTAGCAGAGAACAGAGTAGCTTAGACTATAGACTATGGACTAGAACAGAACATCGCATCGCACAGCATAGCATAGCTTAGCATGAAATGGAGCAGAGAGTAGACAGCAGAGAAGAGTTGAGTTAAGTAGAGTAAAGTTGAGTAGGGCAAGGCAGAGCAGAGCATAGAGTATGTATATTACATGTACATTTACTTTCTATATGCACATGTATGTATTTATGCATATGCAGATTTCGACATAGATATAGATATAGGTATGTATGTATGTATGTATGTATGTATGTAACTACATACATGCGAGTATTTCACCGGGCCGGACGCCAGCGTGAGTCTGACACCATATGACAAGGACTATGCGGTTTGCAGCTTCGCGGCTCCTTTTTTTCGCAGCTTCGAAGCGTGGGGGCCATTGGGCAGCTTCGCAGCCTTGGTAGTTTGGGGGGTGGTTGCCCCCTCAGCCCCAAACCGTGATTTTTTCATGACTTTTCACACTCTGCGCCATCCGCCTCCGCAAACCCTCGATGTGCGAAGCGGATTTCCTCTTCGCTGCCTCTCGTCCGTGGTTTCCCTTTTCCAGAGTCCGAACAACACGAAAAACACAATTCGGAGACATTAGAGTACCCGAGCAGTAAAAAGTGACCCAACGGGTTTCCATTCGACTAGGCTTTTATGATTTTTGTACAGCGTGCATTCATTAATTCTTGCACTTTGTTCATTTTTTGATAACTTCCTTGCCACGGGCACTTGTCCGGCCCCACAGCGAAGCAGATTTTCAGGAAGTCTTTGTTTTTCCCACAGGTTTTAATCATTCATCTTTGTTCAAAACATTTCCTTGCAACTTATGTGTAGTTGCCCTGCCTACATCACTCCAAAAGGGGGGTTTGCAGCTTGTCTGGAGGCTTTTGATGCAGTGGGTGATGCCAGCCGCGCTCTTCTCTGGTCCTACCAGGCATTTCTGGGTACAGACTCACGACTGATGCCAGAGCTACGCGTGCTTTTACATTCTGCACATCCTATCGAATCTAGGATGGCAACAGCAGGATGCCAGATTTCAGACAATCCTGATGCCATTGCGACAGGATGCTTTGCATCGAGAGCAGCATGGACTTCCCCGCCGACTTCCGCCGCGGCAGTCGGAAGCTTCTTGGCTCAGACTGGCGCTTTCGTAGCTTTCGGTATCGAGCACCCGTTCGCGCTGGCAAAAACCATGGCATTAAGTGGCAATTGTTACCCTACGTCCCTATGTCACGTGCCCGTTGCGCTGGAGGGTTGGCAGTCTGCTGGTATTCGTAGGTGCGTTGCGGGTGGTCACGATCACAAGTCTCTTTCGCTGCCTGCTGTGGTTGCTGGAAAGACTTGCATCTGAGCGAAAACAGCCTGCCATGGTGCTGTCGGGAGGAAGCCTTCTCCTTGCCTTCATGGCCTGTTGAGCTGTCCAAGCATTCGCTGGGGATGTCTTCGGAGTTTTGCCGTGCGCAGCTCTTGGAAGATGGCAGCTGCTGCCTCGATCAGATCGGCGACCGATCTGTGCTGCAGAGGAGCATCAGTCGACCTGGCACCTCCTGGGAGTGTATCGCGGCTAAGGGCTGCGTTTCAGAGCCCCCTGGTTTGCGTGGGGATGACCTGCTGTCCATTCCGCCCGCTGCGACGTGCGAATCCTGCCGCATTCTTTTCTTGCATGGAGGCAGTTGGTATTTTGGCTCACCGACTTCGACCGGCTACCATGTGCTGGCTTCGAAGCTGGCCGCGAGAACAGGATGTATCGTCATGATGCCCGATTTTCCGTTGCTGCCAGTCGGAGACTTTGACTCTATGCTCCAAGCTTCTATTGAAGCGATCGTGTGGCTTGGGTCTCCTGCAGTTCTGGAAAACTGTCAGGCCGACGATCCTGCCAAGCTGTTCGTTGCTTGCAGCATTCTGGTACTTAGTACTCATCTTTTTTTAATGAGTTTTTTTGCAGCGCAGCCGAGCCTTCCAAGCTCAGCCGAGCCTTCCAAGCTCAGCCTGAGCCTTGCCAGGTCGGTGGAGACTCCAGCGGAGCCACAACGGCCATCAGCCTCATCCTCCATTTACAGAGCCCCGGTGCCAGCATGCCCATGCCCAAGCTCAATGTTGCCGGCGGTTTTATGTGGAGTCCATGGACCAATTTGAGCCTCCACTCAAGAAGAGTCTTGTGACGTTTCTCCCACACCAACAACATGCAGTGCGCGTTGACGCATGCATCCGTGAATGCTAAGCTGTATGTGCACCTGACGTGTGTTCGTGTACATGTATGCATGGGTGCTGGCCCTTGCCGATTTCACGTTGCTTTGTTGCCCGCTTTACTTGTGCTTGCTTGTGCACTAGCTGTCTGACTTGCTTCCCTGCTCGCCCACGGAAACACATGCGTGCTGGAGTCCGTTCGGAATTCAGAAGCGTCATCCCGAACGGTCTGCGGCACCCCCTGCCTGTGTAGAAGTACAGCATTCGCGGTGTTTTAGCCATGATTCTTGCGGACCTTCCGTGGTGATACTGGAGTCACTGGAGGATGTCTCGATCGCAATTCCGGACGCGTCCCTCACGACTTCCACAGTGCAAGCCTTGAGTTCAATGCAGTTTCTCTATAGCCTCCAAGCTTGGCATGCCTCTTTTTGCATCTGTGAAAACTAGATCCGCTTCTTCGTTCTGCGCTAGGAACTGCTATATCATCTGTGTTTGTTGTGCCAGCTGCTACTCGTAACCAAGATCCTCGATGAGGTCTGGCCAGCACAGTACACGTCGTGGCTGTGGAACGACTTCGAACTTTGCCGCCTTAGAGGACATAGAGTCGTGAATAGGATTCCGGCTGTCTCTCCATGGAGTCCATGCAAAAGCTCGATTTCCATCCGAAGATCGTTGTGAAGAGTGTCATGGCCTCCTCAATTCTCTTCTTCACCCTGGGATGCGATCCAGGATCACCGCAGAAAGCAACTCCTCCTGACATTTCCGCGCAGTAGTTGCGATGCTCAGTGCATGAAGCCTTTTCTGCTACATCAACGACAGCCACTCCACTGTGATGCCCATGACACATCCGGGATTCTACAGGTTATGCATGCCAGCTGAAAAGGATTCACTTATTCGGCAATTCGTTGTTCGAGCCATCATCCCGTGCTTCTGCTTGTTGTTTCAGAAGTGGCAAAGTTTGAAATCTCGGAACCATAGAAAGGTGTGCTTGCGTATCGATGCCTCGGGACCCAAAGCCGCGTTAGCAAGTAAGCCGTTAATCGGTTGGTTAGTGCTCAATCAGGGATGATATGCTGCTGTCGTTGTAGCCCAGAAGACCAATTGCTGTGAGGATGTGTGACACACCGGAATACTTCACCAACGCGTACTCGAGGATCTTCAACTCAAGCTTGGGCAAAGCTTCAGGTCACCAAGGTGACATATTGTTCAGAAGCCCGCCAGAAAGAAACATGGAAGAGTTTCGTGAGGTGGCCTTGCAATATGTTGGAGGACACAAACAAATGCTGCTAGACCCGGTTGCATCCCCAATATACGCAAGCGCAAAGATGCTCGCTTCGGTGCCTCCTCTACACTTCTTGGTGGGCTCCGAGGAAACATTGCTGGGAGACAGCGTCATCTTGGCTCAGAAGGCTGCAGCAAGCGGCGCAACGATTGTGGTCGATATTTACCATGGAATGTGGCACGACTTTCCGATGTACTCGGAAGGCTGCGGTGCGGGCACCGAGCTTGTGTTAGGAACGAAAGGATGGGACAACACGGCTGAATTCATTCAATCTGCCACAGAGATGCGCGATTCGAACGGATGGCCCATCATACGTTATGTCTACGACGAGTCTTTAGAGGGTAAGACCTCCTGGTTCATGCCGGCGCGGCCACTGCGACTACATGGCCGGGCACCTCAGCCATCTAGTTTCGGTGCCTGGCCCTTCTTTGCCGGCCTTGCAATTGGAGTATTGCTGAGCACTGCTGTCTTCATTGGCGTGACACTTTCGCTGACCAGACGACGGAACCTTCGAGAAAACGGCCAACGGGCTGTGCCGCTTGCGCTTGAGATGTCAACGAGGCACGGCTACTAGCCGCCTTGCTTGATGGCCTGCAGGTCTTTTCACACTTCCAAGCGCATCGGTTCGCATCCTTTTCAGGCTCAGTGCCATGTCGCAGCAAGGCCTCGCGCCTCAGCCTTCGACCCTAAGAGGCCCTAAGGAGCTGCAGCTTTCCAGAGACTGGGGCCACATCAGTGCCATCAACCAGTCTTCAACAAAGTTGTACACGCAACGCAATCCTTGCCGGATGGCCCATAACATGCCATCAGACTCAGGCTCCACCTCAGCGAGGCAGCATGCTCGCCAGGACGCAGCCTCAGAGGAGAAACGCCTCAAACAGAAATTCTTGGGGGCTCGATCTCGGGCAGCTTTCAATTTCAGAGCTATCCAGTTCGATCAGACTCGTAGCCAGCCGGCCGAGGTGCAGCCCGGAGAGCCAGCCAGATCTCCGCGAGGAAGCTTGCGAGCCTCGCTTTGGACTTTGGATGTTGTGGATGTAGGGAAACGGCATGCAGAAGGGTTATTGACTTCGCAAAAGATGCACGCCCAAATTTGCGGGTCACGAAAGCAGCGATTATTGCAGCGATTAAGCCAGGAACTCCGAAATCCTAACGATGCCGATAACTCCCGTCCCACCCCGCTCCTGCTTATGACGTCCTTTGCTCTTGGTGAGAACTTGCTGGATGTTCTCTTGGATCCCTTGCCTGCGTGCTTAGATCCCTGTGCTGACACGGACTACCCTGTCAAAAAGCTATAATGCAGAGACTGGCATTCACTGCTCACTCGCATACCGAGGTTGAAACATTTGCGGAAGTTCGCCTAGATTTCTTGCGTAATTCATAGTGTCCGCCAGACACGCGACTGGGAATCCTGCGTTCCGGAACTTTACTGTAAACTGCGAACCAAAGCCACGATGGTGCCTTCAAAATCTGAGCCCAGCCATCTTTTGCATTGCCGGCAGTGTTACAATTTCTGCCCAATAATTGCACCATATACTTTATACAACTGTACGTGCAGAGTCCGCTACGCAACCGATCCTGCAGAATGAGCTCGACCCATGACAGGCATCCCTACCACGTCCACGCGGCAGCATTGCTGCACAGGCTCTGGCTTGCCAGGCATCTGGTCACGCAAAAGGTTTGGCACAATTTGTATTGTTTCTATGGATTTGTTGTTTTTTTGTCTTTTTGACACCTCGCGCAGTAAATCTGAACTGAACTTGCCCTTACACTGCAGTTCAACTGGATTTTTCAATGCCACTGAAAGGGGGGATGCCAGAAAGACTTGAGCCCGTCTGCTTGCCTTGGTAGGCGCGCTGTGAAGCACCTCCTCATAGATGGAAGCTGGAGAATGCCATGCCACATGGAGATCTTCAGAGCTTCTTGCACAAGCAGCTGGATATGGACAGTTCGGATAGAGTCAAGTCTGCCGAGTCTGCTGTTGCAAAGCTCTGAGCTGCTGATTGGCTCAGGCAGGACCAGCTTCTGGATGAGCTACAAAAAATGCGCGGCATGTTGGCACGGCGCGATGCCGAATTCGAGGCGACCCCCGAGTTGCTCCGCAGGAAAGAGTTTTTGCGTTCGGCATTCCCCGAGGCCCGAGCGGCCCGAGCGGCCCGAGCCTGTCTGTTGAGGCGTTCCGCGAGGACGTCAAGCACCTGCTTCGCAGCGGCGGGGCTTCGCCGCACTGGCAAACCATGCCACTTGACCTGCACAGATAAAGCAACAACCGAAGCAGTGACTGAATGTTTGCGTTTGACTAGATCCTGGATCCTAAAGCTTTGCGGAAACCGCGCAGTCGCTGTCTCGAGACGTTTCAGTGCGTCTGGCATAGTGGAGGCACCAGGATGTTGTAGGTATCGAAATGGTGGGACAGGTCTTTGCGAGCCTTCCTGGGAATACAGGTCAGCTCGACTCTTCAGACCTGTCCAGCAATGTTGCAAGCAAGGACATGCATGCGGCATGCGTGCAATGCCAGCAATGCACGCAGGTCAACAGTCACCGCCGATATCCGATCTCCGCTCGATACGCCGGTCGCCCGCACACGGCTTGGGATGAGTGGTTCAGCTCCTCGACCCTAGCATGCAAATGTCACAGGCCGTTTGGATTTGGGAAAGATATTCTGGGTGGCGCGCCGGCTGCGCAGCCTAGATTTTTCTTCTTGTCTTCAGTGTGTAACCGTGTAACCTCTTCTTGGGCTGTCATGGGCACTCTATCGTGTTGCTACTCGTGCTGCAGTCTTTGGATATTCGAGAAGCTTTTCCCGCCAAGCATGCGAGAGGACATCCCTCAGCTTAGCGGTTGAGCGCGTTCACGCCAGGGAGGACTGTTGATCTCAAGTTCGGGTCTCACCCTTGGCCCGCATGTGTCATTCGGACGTTGTCTTCCCCGGTCTCTGTCTCGGCGGACTTCTCATTCTCTGTTGCAGTGCCTCAGTGCGAGACTGTATCGGTAGTCTTTGCGACCTTCGGCTGAAAACAAAGGTCCCGAGTTAGGCTTGGAAGAGCAACGTTGGCGATTACAGTATGTCGTCGGAACCACTGTCGGCAAGATCAGCAGTCAGTACTTGTCCTCGGTATGTCTCGCGTTTTGGAGCATGTCTCGAAGAAGAAGAAGAAACACGTACTGCACCGTTGCTGTTCAGCGATGTGACCTGCGACTTCGTATTCCAAGGGAAGGCCGACTACGATCAGCCCAATCCAGGAGATGGCGTCAAAATCTGGCTCCGCTGGATCCTTGGTGACCCGCCGAATCATGAGAAAGCTTTTTCATGCATAAGCCTCCGTATCTAGAGAAGAGCTATTTTCCGGTGCAGATTCTGTGGTGTGCGCATCCCTGACTGCAAGGTGGACCGAAGTGGGAGCTTGGGCAGCCAGAACAGCGTGACCGCCGCAGTCTCAGGCTTTTGAAGCGGGAGGGCCGCCGGCAATTTCTTAGACATACACCCACACAGGCGCTGTGCCGAAACAGAAAAGTCTGCATAGACAAGAGATAAAGCCGAATCTTCAAAAAACGCCTGGCTTCCTTAGCAGGGCATCGTGCCCTCCTGACACTTTCCAGCGACCAGTGCGGAAAGTACTTGAGTGCCTTTGAGAAGAGTGAGAGGCAGAAGCTTGGAAATCAATTCCGCAAGGAGGGCCTGGGAGTCCAGGGCCCACTCAGGTTTCGCCCGAGGATCCAGCGCGTCGAGGCAGCAGAGATCTCAGCGCCGGCCTCAGAAGGGCAGGAAGGGCCGTGAGAGGAACCGTGACTCCAGAAGTGTTTCGTGGATTTGCTGCATCTGCTACGTTTGCGCCAACCTGATGGCGAAGATTCGGGGTTGAGACTGGTATTCATATCCTCCACTTCAGTCCACTTCCAGGTGGCGACCTGCACCGGGCCATGTCCCCGCAAGGAATCCGCCAGACTCGTGTGAAAGCCACAGACATTTCGTTCAATCGAACGGCTGCCAGCCCTTGGCTGCAGGACAGCAGGATGCCTCCTTTCTTTGGATGGAGTCATGTGGTGACACTTGGCCGAAGTGCTGCTGCTAAGATTTCTGAAAGGGCGACCATTGGTGCCAAGGACTATGCCTTTCAGGCAACGCGCCGAAAGGCGAAAGCTTCACCTTCGGAGAAACCTTGGCGGCTTGCATGTGTTTTTGCATTGCTCCTTCCACTCTGTGTGGTCTGCTTGAGGGGAGCGCAAGCTTGTTCGTTTTGCGAGTCTTCTTCCGACTTGCTGGCTAGCCTGTGGCATCTAGCTGAAGGAGGCGATGCTTTTCGTCTCCTCTCGGGTCCTCCGCATCGTAACATCACTTCACATATTACCGTCCTCATGTGCAGATTATGAAACGCGAATCGAGTCCGGGGTGAGGGTTCGGATCACCGGATTTGGCTAGCGGCAAAGTTTTTTTTGTACAGCTGAGGTACTGCTGCTAGTTTTCCACCTCTGCTGCCAGCGGCCTGTTTCAAGACTGGAGGTGGAGTTCTAAACACTTATTCAGTTGCCACAAGCTGGCTGCGCAGCCTGTCTGCGCTAATGCTCCCGAAGCCGGATAAGATCCTGAAAGGACACCTGAGCTTTGTTGGGAAAGCTATGCTGGGAAAGTGGACCAAATGTGTGCGTATGTAGGAGGGTTTTTGCAGCCGACCTGTCTGTCGTAGCATGTGTCTACCACCCTCCAAGACCAGATTGCAGGCCCGAGACTGCACGGTACGTTGAGGCAAAACAAAGCCGAGAAAATCCACCACGGGCTCAACATCACGCGTCTGAGCGGCTGAACCAACGAAATGCGGTGGCGCATGACTGGGCTAGAGTCTGCCAGACACGAAGCGACCTGTGCCCGGCTTGAGCATCCAAGAGGATCCAAGAGAGATCACCGTGTGAGTGCCAAAGGTGCGCTGAGCAGCTGAGCAAGCAGCAAGACCGTGAGCCGTGAGCAAAAACAAGGTTTGAACGTGTGTTGTAATTAATTGACTCATGCTGTGTGAGGAATGTATGACATTAGAGAGCATTGACCGGAGTCAAGAGGAGTTCATCCGCGTCGACTTCCAGGACCGGGTGCGCACGGTGCTGGAGAAGGTGCAGCGGTGCAACCGTGCCGCAAAATCTGGGCTCCCTGAAATTCATTCTGCAGCACCTGCGGCAATGTTCAACTCACCCCTTTACGTGCCTCGTTGCAGGCACTTCAAGGCGAAGAGACCGCCAGCTTCAAGTTCGTCCTGGTCAGCAAGGTCCGACTTTCGTCTAGAAGCCTTAGCTGCAAGTCCCCGCAACCAATATCAGATTCGGGCTCGGGGTATTGGTATCGTCGCATCCCACTTTCCGTGAGTCTTACGAGTTGCCTCTTGCGACCAAAGAAGAAGCCTACATCCTGCTCCTTCTGCCAGTCTGGGGAGCACCTGGAGCTCCTGCTGAATGCCACTCCACGACGGGCTGCGAATGGTGACATCAGCGGAGCCGTTTTTGTCGGTCAGGACAGTCGGCCTGGCGATTCTAGTATGTGTTTTTAGTACACAGCAACTGATGCCCTCAGTCACGTGCTAGTAGAAATTTTTGAAGCAGTGCTTGCCTGTGACTGAGCCTACCCTTACTTGTAGCTTGCAGGATTTTGCGGGCGTCCTGCAGAAGAGCACAGTGGTCCACTTTGAAGTTTAGACCATGACATGAACTTGACACCTGTAAGGCGAAGCTTCATGTAGGAGTGATTAGAAAACACCCCCAGCTGAGGTCTGCCTGTGTTTGTAGTATCAGTAGTATCAGTAGTATCACAAGTCACTAGTTTAGTAGCATTAGTAGCATTAGTAGGAATAGTAGTAGTCGTAATGGTAGTAATAGCAGAGGAATAGCTGCGACTTTAGGGTCCTTAGGTTGAGCTTTTCCTAGTTACTTAGCCTCGTTCCTAAGTTTTTTTGGATCCTGAGGCCCGGATATATTCATTGTCACACCTTTTTTGATGATCACTCCATCCCGCATATCATTTGTTTGGGCCGTTCTGGCCACGTAATATGAACTCATCTTCCGCCAGGAATTTCTGCCCCGGATCATTTTCAGTAACGCCAAATCATACCAACATCACCCGATGTGCGGCAGGACATCACTGAGCTGGGCAGAGCAATGGTTGGAGCACAGCAGGTGCGATGGGGATGGGGCCTGATCATTAGCACGAAGTCGTGGTGTGACCGATGAGAGCAGGTCGCAGAGGACTTAAAACGCCTACTTAACACCGCCAATGTTCCCATCTTCGAGATCGATGTGGAGGGTAAGGCCGGGCCTGGTGAAAATGTGTGTCCACTCAGCTACGGCCTAGGGTACTTGTAGAGTGCCAGAGCTGCGTTTTGGGAGGTGGTGGAGTGGAACCGGAAGGTTGCGACCATGACTGCTTTCTCAAGAGAGGAGGTTCAACTCAGCCTTTGCTTGCTTTCGGGATCGACTCGCTGGCTCACTCTTGGCTTCAAAGGGCAAATCGAATGTCCTTGATTGTTGGCAGCTCGGGTATGCAGTGCTGCTTGAATTCTCGGCTCAAGCTTCACGGAAAGACCTGGGAACATGGCGGTTAACAAATGGTGAGAGCGTGAAATGCCCAGCAGAAGCAGAAGCTGGTCTGGAAAGTGACTGAGTCAGCCGTAAGCTGTGTAAGAGAGCGCAATGCTCAGGATTCTGCTCCAGCGTCGATTTCGGAAGCAGCCTTCCGTAGCGAAGGCACGGTTGCTGAGGGTTTTGAATCCAGCTTGAGATCAAAGTCCGACATGGACCTTGGAAGCAGAGAAGCATCAGATTCTGGTACCCAAATTGAGATCTAGAGCCGCGCTCTGTGCAAGGCAACGGATCATGGGTTTCACATTCTACATCGGCGAGCTGCGCGTGTTCTTCCCATATGACAGCATTTATCCGGAACAGTAGCTCGATAGCATGTGTGCCTGGATTCGCAAACTGGTAGCAGCTGCATCAGAAGGCTGCAGTCTGCTTCGATCTCTAGATTCTACATGGTGGAGCAGGATCTGAGTTGTGATCAGAAATGCAGGCTGGAATGGAGGCTAGAGTCCGTGAATAAAAAACGGGGCTCAATGGCAGAATTCGGCATGGTACCGGTACAGCCGCTATTGCCGGCGGTAGACACCTTTTGTCTTGCCAGTGCCAGATACATGCGGGTATAGTGCCACGCGGGTATCGCAGTCGGGCCAAGAAGTGTGTCTATCCTGGTTGAGGGGTGTTTCTTGAACAGTTTAAGTGATGCTTGTCCAGTCACAGGGCCTGGAGCAGGAAGGCCAGCGTCAATCGAGGTACCGCTACATGTGCGAGTTGAAGCGGGCACTGGATGCCAAAGGTAATGGCGTCCTTGAGATGCCGACAGGTACAGGCGGGCTTGCATTCGCTTGCTTCTAATGCGCTGAAGGGCCGCAAGAGGGAGCCGTATGAGGCAGCTGTTCTCCTCCTCCGGTCATGCATTCAAGACACATCGTGCTTCACACCGCCTTCTACTTGCAGGAAAAACTGTCACGTTGTTCTCATTGATCACCTCGCCGCTTGCTTTCGTCAGAGTTGTGATGCAGTGGGAACTTGTAAACGTGTAACCGTACAGATGAAAGTGTCGACGTTGTCCCGCTGAGGTACCAGTGGGCACACCCTGAAGTGGGTCGCTTGGTTTATTGCACACGGACAGTTCCCGAGATGAGCAAAGCTCTTGAGGAGCTGCGGAAGGCCCGGCGAGAGCAGCGTCCTGCGACACGTTAGCAGAACAGCGCAGCAGCGCCAGGTCATAGACTTCCGCGTGGAGGTTTTAGCCAAAGATCGGGCTTCGAAGCAAAGACCGCGCCCCAGAGACCAGACATGGGGTGGCAGCTCAAGAAAATTTCAGGACCAACATCTTTTGAATAGCCGCTGGCTAGTTTCTGCGTGGGCGAGGTGAGGATTGTGCTCAAGAGCCGACCGGCTTGTCTGCCGGGCACATCTTGGCGGTGGCTTGCTTAGACATTGCACAAAGACTTAGACCTGACAGCTGCGTAGCAACACGAAACCAACTCTCACGAGCATCAGTGCTGATCCTCCTGCGGCCTCTCGATCGTCTTGGACCATCGCCACTTGAGGTCGGACTCTCTGCAAGACGCCACTCGTACTGAAATTTGCACGGAAGTCCCGGCAGGCGTATGCGTGGTGAGTCACTATGTGCAGGAGATGAAGCATCTGAGCTCTCTAGCCAACAGCCAAGGCAACATGTGCGTCCACCCCGAGGTGAGCAAGGAGGGCGATCGAGAGCGCGTGGACGAGCTTGCGGGCTGAACTGTGGGGTAGATGGAAAGCAGCATCGAGTGACATTGTCGCGACAGTTTCTCGGTGTTCGCTGACTGAGGATGTGCCGACAGTTGACTGCTCCATGGGCAAGGGAGAAGGGGAACAGGGACAGCCTTTGCACGCACTTCGAGAAGTCACGAGGCAAAGACATCCATCAGTGGATTCTGGGACAGTCGGGTGTAAAACTTGACACGTTTCGAAAGCCTGCATGACTTTGAACATCCCCGCGGCTCCCCTGCTACCCTTAATTGCCTCAATTTCAAATATTGCATTGATGGAGGGGTTAAAACCAAGGTCTGTGCGAATGCCTAAAATCCGGCAGGATGGTGATGCAACATTGAAACTAGGGGGATGCGGGGAAGTGGAAAGTGGGACGTGAGATATGTGCGATGACCTAGGTCATGCAGGATTTTGGGCATCAACAATAGTAGCGGCAGTAGTAGTAGTAGTAGTAGTAGTAGTAGTAGTAGTAGTAGTAGTAGTAGTAGGAGTAGGAGTAGGAGTAGGAGTAGGAGTAGGAGTAGGAGTAGGAGTAGGAGTAGGAGTAGTAGTAGTAGTAGTAGTAGCAGTAGCAGTAGCAGGAGTCGTAGTGGAGGTAAATTAGAAGTAAATAGAAGAAGCAGTTACTCTGCATGCACCCAGGTACGAGACGGCACTCGCTCATCAGTCGCAGCTCCTCGACACAGGTTGGACCGTATGCTTAGGGCTTAGGGCATCGCAGTCAGGTGGTGGAATCCCGTAAAGCGATTGCTGTTCGAATGACCGGCTCTTTCCGCAACAGAACCTTCGGGTAACCTTGGGTGCAGCATGGCGTAGACCGGCCGGACCTCGCAGAGGCATTTACACCATCGAGGACCTCCGCGCCAAGGGCCTGGAGTCGAAGCTTGGCTTTCCACAGAGATGCCATCTCTGACGTGATGCGTCAGGTTCGAAGCCATGTGTCTTCTGCATGAGTTGAAGCATGTTGACAACCGAAGCCAACCGCTGGCTGCGTGTGACATGTAGACCACTGGAGATGTTTGTTCGGTGACCTTGTTCGCGTCATGGCTGGTTCTCACTGCATCCAGGGGCTACGGATGGTGCCCATACTATGCTGCCCGCCGACTGATTCAAGCCTCTAGCGTGGTCGTGCTCAACTATCAGTGCATGCCCTAGCACTCGAAGGTGGTAGAGCTCGCGTGAAGACCAGCTGAGCATCCGATGTAAGCGTCTTGTGCTCGTGGCACCTCTCGCGCCTGGAGGTACGTCCTGGATCCAAAGGTGTCTCTGGCGTCAAGCCTGGGTGGGGCTCCGAGCCTTCCTGGAGCACGAGCGAATGCACGAGGCGAGGCGGGTTGGAGTGAGAGCAAAGCCTTAGGTCCTTAGGTGTTTGCGCTCGCAATTTGAAACCTCACTTGTCACTTTTGTCACAAGTGGGTGTGCCACTGAATCGATCTTTTTCGGGTTTGCTTCTGTAGACCTGAGGGTGAGGCCATCCAGAAACAGCCAACCTGCTCCTCAGGAGGTGGTTCCTCGATCGAGCCGAGCATCGTGGTTTTTGACGAGGCTCTCTGCATGCCTCTCTGATTGCACAGGCTGCTGCAAAGGGAGCGTGCATCATGTGCTTGCTCTCGTGTGACCATGGCCATCGCACCTCGAGATGCTTCGGGTCGGAAAAAATGCTGCGACTCGGCCACATCCTTGGAGTGGCAATCTACGTTTCACTTCCATGGCTTCCAGGTGCATCGGAGGCTGCGGCCTGCTCCGATGCCGTGTGCAAAGAAACCCAGGCAGTCTTTGATGAGGTTGACTCTGCCGACGAAGAGGCTTTGCTTCTTGAGCTGCTTCAAGTGAGTACGAAGCTTGAGCGTCGCGGGCGCGAACAGCACGCCCAACTCGCAGCTGTCCAAAACGTGCCTGGCACGGATCGGCAGTCGATCTTTGGCAGTCTCCTTGCCGCGAATGCTGGCCGGGTATCTTTTGTGCTAGCAGTCGTGCTGCCACATGTGGTTGCCTTTTCCATTGCATTGTTCCTTCGCCGGCGCGCCGGCGGGCCTCAAAAGACCGTCGAAGTTCTTCAGGAGGAGGAGCAGCTCGAACCCCCACGCAGCACCTCCGTCGTGTTTGGAAATCTAAATTGTATTTTCTGGTGCAAATCGTGACATGAGCTCTAGTCATCCGATGGAGGCACTTTTTGTTTGACAGGTCTGTCTTACATCGTTGAGCGAGTTGGTCCAATGTGGATCATTCACCTGCTGGGAATCTTCTCCGTGGCAGCTGTTGCACCGAGCATTCCCTACATGTGCTTTGGCGTTACACTCAATGGGCCCCTGCATGCCCCTGCTCTTTCAGCGAGGGGCGTTCGTTGATTCCTTTGATTCCTCTGTCTGCGACACCCACTTCATAGCTCAGAATAGCTGGAGGACGACACCTGCCGACCAAGGTACTTGAATTACTTTGCGCGCCAACACGCGGAAGGGCCCGTGGACTGCGCAGTTAACATGGCTTCGTTACCCTGTAGCCGAGCTGCGACGGACGCGATGCAGCTCGCTGTCGTGAGAGGTGGGAGTTTGATCGACAGACTTACGACGGATTCAAAATTGATGTCCTTCTCCTAAGCTACGGGTTACCAGGGCAACTAGTAACTAGTGTCGTTCTTCTGTGTGCTTTTGAAGGCTTGGCCGGGCCTGTGGTTCAGTTCTTGACAGGGCCAACGCCGCTTGGCAGAGAGGCCAAGGCCCGCTTGGTCTCAGCCTGCCTCCAAAAAATCCAACATCTCTCTTTCTTTTGACCGGTCTTAAGCGTTCTCTTCTCTTCTCTTCTGTTCTACTCATTGCCCGCGTCTTCCTAGGCTGGGTGCGATAAGCGACTCACTTGGCAGACGACCGGCGATCCTTGCCATTCGGATCAGCATGGCATCCCGGATCTCAAAGCTAAGCCGGCAGAGCTAGACAAGAGGTCCTAGGTCCTAGCTGTACTTTTCGGATTTCTTAAGCCGGAAGCACATAGCTTGTCCATTCTTGTTGGTTGGCTCGTTGTTCAGGCAATCACTAGTGTGACCTCTGCTGCGGTGGTCTGGTTCAACCTTTCGGCCATGTGGGACTTCTGGATAGGCTTCCTCGCTCTCATTCCCGTCTTTGCGGTGCCGACGGCCTGGTACATTGACCGTGTTGACCATGCCCCAAGCATTGTTCGAGCAATCACGTTCGTGGAAGGCACTTGCATCCTGAGCGGGCTGCTTGGGGTCATGTTGGGAAGTGTCCTGAGCATGAGGATGGCATTTCTGGTGGGTATGCTCGGCAAGCTTATCGATCTTTTCTTGGCCATCTTCTGCTTGCCGGAGTCATTGCGACCGGAGCAAAGGATTCCTTTTTCTTGGTCTTTGCTGGTGCCCACCACCTCCTTCCATGCCCTAGTGCAGAACCCATTGGTACAAAAGTTGACAGCTATTGGTGTGATTGATGCTTTTCACTACACGGGGTGGCTTTGCATCTTGGCCAGGTTCCTGCAGCAGCATTTTGCTTGGAGCCGGCATGATAGCTACCTTGGGGGACTGTTGGATGCAGTCTCTGCCATCGCATGGATGGCAATTGGGGTCAACCTGCTCCTGCCCGCTCTCGGTCGAGTGGGGGTACTCGCCACTAGCACCATCTCGGTCGGATTGGCGAGCGTAATCATCATGCTGGCGACCAGGCCGTGGCACATCTACCTCGAAAGTGCGTTGTTTGGGGGTCTGCCACTCATGAGTTCTGCAGTCTTGGTGGCAATCATTGGCAAGGCCAGCAGCGCCGAACAACAGGGAATGCTCCAGTCGACCTTGAACCTCGTAACACAAATCAGCGGTGCATTGGGTGGTGCCTGCTTTAGCATTATATACCAGTTTCTGGATCCTACTGCGCCCGGGGCACCCAAATGGAAGATGGGCGTGTATGTTCTGTACGGAGTGGTGTTCATAATTCCAAGTCTCTCGCTGACCTTTTCCCTTCGGAAAGAAATTGAGGAACCCGCGAAGCCTTACAAGAGTGTGGACACGAGGTGAACTGCTCGGCAAGCTCCGCGCAGGGCGGGCAGTCTTTACAGTTCTGGAAAGGCGAGCTGCCGAAAAAGACTGGACCGTGCTGCCCCCCCTTTTCCTATCTCTCCTGAGTTGCAGAGACTGCTGAACTTCGAGCCGCATGGCCCAATTTTTAATGAGCTGTACGGTGTTAGCATCGGTAAGGCGATTTCTTCGCAGCTGTGCGTAGCTAACAGTATCAGCTGGTGGTAATGAGCATAGTACATGCTTGAGCAGTTCGCACCTTCTTTGCTGCCAGCGGCCATGGACGTGCCAATGGTCGTAAAGGTCTGCATCCAGAGAATTAGTGGCCAGGAGCTAGAGTTGGATGCTGAGGTGGAGGAGACAGTTGCGGAGCTGAAAGCCAGGCTCACCGAAAAGTGCCAAGTCCCTCTTCTCTGTCAGCGACTCCTCCTGCAAGCACCTCCGCCCGAGGAATTCAGGGAGAAGCTTATGTTGGTCATGAAAACAAGAGCCTCGGAGATACTCAATCAGCTTGATGTCCACTTTCTGTACGAAATGAAGGCGATCTTCAGCCCAGCACGTCCAATGTACCAATGCTTTGCGATTGTCTACCGTCTCATCGCATCTTGCCCATCTTTGAAGAAGCTTCCGCGGAGACGCGCTAATCCGCGGTCGGACCCGGGACCTGGATGGGACGCGCTGAAACCATTGCTTTGCGGCGACACCTTTGATTTCATCCGCGGCTTGCAGGAGTTTCCTGAAGAAGTGGTCCAGGCCAAGGTGCAACAAAGCCAAATCCATCAGGCTGAGAGCATTGCCCAAGACATGGGATCCACCTTCACCCCGGGGCATCAAGCAAAGTTCAGCAAGGTCGGCGAGATCCTGTGTGAATGGGCCTTGATCTCCATTGAGCTGTACAAGACGTGGGCTGGCAAAGAACTTTCTCCGAAACTCGAGGACACGTTCCCCTTGTCTTTGTATTCAAGCGGTGGTGAGCTGAAGCTGTCGTTACTGACAGATGTCGAACCAGCATTTGCGAACCTGTCCTCGGACTTCGAGCACGTGCTTGAAGCAGTGCAGGCCCTTGCTGTTCTTGGGAACAACTGTTTGGATCGTGCCGTGCCTGCTTTGGTGGAAAAGCTAATGCATTGGGAGCCAACGATTCGAAGCGCAGCTTGCGACTCACTGAAGCATCTTGCCCGCCAAAATGCTGCAACGGCTGAATTATTGCGAGGTCACCTGGGGCCTTGCATACCGCATCAGCGCCCGAAGCCTTGGCCTGCGTCTGTCGAGATCATGGACGTTCTTGTAAACTTGGCTGGCGACCATCTGCACACTCTGTCCTGGCTCGTCGGAGTCATGTGTTTTGCAGACCCTGACGAGAGGGAAATTGGCTGGTCATACTTCCAAAGTGTGGAGCAGTACGCGGATGCTGCTCAGCTGGCTGGTCTCCTCATCTCATTCATGAAAGAAGAGGAGATTGATGATGTGGGAGACCCCTTCCTTGGAAATGTAACCAGAAAGTCGGAGATTCGTGGTGCACAAGGGATGATCTGCGCTGCCCTTGCAAAGGCCGGGGCAACTCCACACGTCAGAAGTCTGATTGATAATTGTGGGAGAATCTACGGTATTGTCGTCAGTCTTGCGAGCGAGGAAGGGTTGACATGAAGTGACATGCAGCACCAGCAGACGTGATGCGTCATGGTTGTCGATTGTGACTGTCCCGCGATTGGTTGGCAGGTTGGCGAGCGCAGCAATGTGGTGGTAGAGTTGCTCGTGAAAGAGCTGGCAGTGACACAGGCTCGGGCCACGCATCCTGTTGAGCGTGCCGGCGGGAACCTCGACAGGAGCCCTTCCAGCGTGCCCGGGCAGCCGCCGTCTTGGCGAGAGTGGCACCCCGCGAAGACGAAGCAGTGGTCAAGGCACGCAGAACTCCACTCCGACACACCACCCTGTTCATACTGCATGCTGTCCCTTGATGTCCCTTCCGTGATGGTTTGTGCCAGGCTTTGCTGGACGATCTGAGCACGTCAGAAGGTCTCTCGGCCAGCAGTCTTTCGATGTGTTGTCAGCGGCGCAGAGAGCCGAGGGCGCGAAGCAGAACTGTCGGTTGAAGCTTCAACAGTATGATGCTGAGAGTTAAGGCACTAAGGCCGTCAAGCCCAGAGCAAGCTGAAGGCTTGATATTCAATATTCTCTGTTCTTGCTCTGCTCTCTTTATGCCGAACGAAAGGGTGTGGACAGCGAGAGACACTCGGAGAGTTTCATGCCGACCTCTGTTGCTCGACGGACCTTCGTCGGAGATGGTGGGGGCACACACTGCTGGTGTATGGGGGTTGCCACCCTCGGCAGGGGGCCATCCAAGCCTAAGAAGAAGAAGACCAGAGACTTGCAAAAGACCCTACTGCAAATATTCCCCTCACTATTCTGTGCAGGCTTGTGCAGGAAAAGGTTCCTGTTTCTACTGTTCGTGCACGATGCTTGCAACGTCCTTGCCCCCCGCCTCACCTTCATGGCGTCATGCATGTCACCGTCGTTGTCATGGCGCGCTTGTTCAATCTGCCACTATGCGAAGAGCATGCTCCCCGTCGTTTCGATGTGGTGAAGCTTTGCGATCAGGAGAGCACTTGCTGCTGATGTCCGGTCATCTGGCATCGATTTCGCCTTCCTCCCATCCGCAGGCACCCCGTGCCTGTATAGACAGATGCAGGGACAGGATGATCGATAAACAGACAGCCGGCAGCCACTGTCTGCTGAGATAGCTAGGGCTCTCGGTCACAATTTTGCGTCAGATCCTGAGCGGACTTCGTGCTGAACTCAAGCGGAGAGGTGGTGCAGGATGCCAGGACTGGGAGGGTTTGATACCCGAACCATCCTGAACCTGAAGCTTCTATCCCCTTCTTCACCAATTCCACGAGCTTGCAAGTTTCTGTTTCGACCCCAATGTCGACAGCCATACATTGAATGCCCTTCACCTGCAGGCGGTTATTCATCGAGTTGCGGCTTGTTCCGCTTCCGAGGATCAAGTCTCCGTGATTTTAAGTTTCTTGGGTAACATTGGAGGGATTTCTTATGCACATCCTCTCCTCCCGAGCATTGTAACACTGTCGCATTTCGTATAGCTGCAATGAGTGTCTCTGTGCTCCGACCGAGTCATCGGCAACTGATGCATGATATTACCGTGATATTGTATGATTTAGTACCCCAGCCTTAGCGACAGTTGTGGTTCTTGAAACCTTACTGTTGACAACTACCGCCACTGGCCTCCGCCTCTTCCTTCTCCTCCTGCTGCTCCCTAAGCCGGGAAACCCATCCAACTTCCCGACGCATATTTGGAGATCAAGCGCAAGTCAAGGCTACCTGAAGAACTCACGTTGCTTTCTGAGCCACGAGTGGCCGGCCTCTGCCGCTTGACTGGAATTTGTCTTGCCACTGAGCCGGTCGTGACTGTGATAGTGACCTGGCATGACTTGGCTAGAATGTGCCGATCTTGCGTTGTGAAGAGGATTTCGGACCTGCGTGAACTGCACTGTCGTCCGAATTGGTTGCAGCATCCTCCACTCTTGGATTTGACCGATTCAGCGTCCAACGGGCCTACTTCTTGTCGACATTGTGGTCTTCACAAAACCCAATGCCTTACATTCAGGCAGCATCTTTTAACTGCTCGAACGCCCAGGTCGTGACAGCCCTGGATGCGGTCGGACCAGCTGCAAGCTCTGGCATCCCTGGCGCCCGGGAGGCCGTGAACCTGGCAGCTAAGGCGAGAAATGCAAGTCCTGCAAGTGGCGTCGGCAGCCGTCTTCCTGTACAATAGGCTTGAAGCTGCACTGGCTGCGCCGAGGAATTCAAAACTGCCTTGTCTGTGGAGGCTTTGTGCAAGAAGATGATATCCGGGCACGAGCAGTGCAAGCCCCCGCTGCTGCAACTTGCCACCAAGTATGGCCTGCCTGATGGTCTCAACGGTGCACCTCGGTTGCACCGATGGCTGGCTGAACCTGTCTGACAGACAAACACAGAGAAAATTCGTCGCATCGCATTCAGGATTTGGTGAAGGGCCTCTGCCAAGGCAGGCCGAAAGTGCAGGCCTCCTGCCACGCCATCTTGAAGGAGTCACTGAACGGCAAGGACATCAGCCTGGTGCTCGTCCCTGGGTGCAGAGCCAGCCATACGTACATGCTGTCTGACTTGCTGTCGGTTCTTACAATTGTGTATAAGCATCATGATGTGATGGGATGGGGGTTGGCTGCGCAAGAGTATGAGATCAACTCTGTCTTAATTTCCGAGCGTTGCTCGGCAAAGCAAGCACCAACATATGTAATCGTAGGTTTAGAGGCAAGGGGTCCTGGCCGAACCTTTCATGTGCATGAAATCTGCTCACCTTCTGAACGGCCATTGTAACATAGACAGTGGAAGTTGACTGTTCACGTGTGGGTTATTCGCAGTGGCCTGCTCGCCTTGGCAGCATCCAGGATGTCATCGACAATGACATTAATGTGGTGACTCGCTGCTTAGCCGTAGAACTTCTGCCACATTGCTCTTCGCGGGGGCAGTGCGATGTGATAGAGATGCTGCTCCGACTGGCGACCGACAAAGACGTGGTGATCAAGTCCACAGCCATCGGGGTCATTGGGCAGTGCGCGCACTGGGACGCAAGGGTTTGTGAAGTCTTGCGAAGGCAGTTGGAGCACCAAGATGCCCACGTCCGTTCGGCTGCGTTGTTTTCCCTGAAAGATCTTGAACTTGAGCACGACAAGGATGCACTCTTCGACACCCTGTCCAAGTGTCTGGACGATCCCGCTTCCAATGTGGTGCGTGGGGTGGTGCAGTGTCTTGAGTGCTTGCTGGACGGTCGCGAAGCTGTGATTTGCCAACTGGCCTCTCCGCTTATCGACCATGGCGACGCAACCGTTCGAGAAGCGGCATTTACACTGTTGGGCAGCCTGCCAGAACTGCAGCCTCTGCCTGATTTCGTGTCGAGAGAGAGCCTAAGCTCTTTTGTTCTTAGCATAACTTGTCGATTCGTCCAAAGCTCCCCTTCACAACCCGTGGGCCAAGGCAAGATGACCAACGAAGGGCAGCGGGAAGCCTTGAGTGTTTTGAAAGCTGCAGAAGGCCCGCAGACTGTGAGATCTCAAGTAACATCCCGTCGTCTTTACACTACTCCCATAGCCGTAGCTCGCATCAGGCACCGATAGTGTCGAAGTGCTTGTCAAAGCTTGGGGCTGAGGACGACCTTGGCCTGAGTCAGATGCTCTCGTACGAGAAGCCTGGGACAAAGCCCTCGAAGCATTGACCTGCACATGATGCCGGGCGGTCGGTCGAGTCGACTCGGTGACCTTCGAGCGGCCGAGCCTTGCGAAGCAGATGCTTCGGGCTCGCCTGAAACTCTGTGATCTTGCCAGGCGACAGCGTCGCCTGGTCTTGCGAATTTCCAGAACGGTTGTTTGGCATGTTGTGCCGCCCTGATGACGCTGGCAAACGAAACTCATCCAGAGATAGGAGGCAGAAGATGCAGGTTTTCGGACACAGCACTCCGACAATGGCGAAGCTTGGCACAGTGACTGCACCACCGAGCGATTCAAAAGGTGCGCCCTCCCCAAGTGAACTTGATAAGCTTGACTTCTTCCACCACTAAGCATGAACCCACCCTGTTCATGTCGTCTTGTTTGCTGCTGTCTTGCCAAGTAAATGTCTTACATGTCAAAAACCGCAGGATGTGTGATCAAACCACGTGGTGTGCCTAGTTGCGGTGTGGGCATGATCGTCAAAGGCACGCGGCCAGTACTGGCTTCCAAGCAGCTATGGCCACGAGAAGGCAGCACAACGACGGCTCGCAGTTTGCCGGTCTTTGCCTCCCCCGATGTTAGCAGGCGGAGCACGCAAGCGCATTGGGTCCAACATGCTGCTGGTGCGCTAGCCATGTGCAGCTTGGTGTCGACATGCCCTCGCAGGGTGCGCCGGTCTGTCCGAAGCTTGAGATTTTCAAAGACAAAGCTACAAGCCGTTTGTGTCGCGGAGTCTGCCCAGGCAGATGCACAGGCAGCAGCAAATGAAGTGTTGGCAGCTGCTGGGCCGAGAGGGCCCGGGCCTGGATTCGCTGTGGTCCTCATTCCACGCAGGCTATCTGCCGGTGCGCCGGGCATTGTTCAGCACATAGGCTCCAGTCTTGGTGCGGCAGTGTCAGTTGTGGCATGCACATCGGGTGGCCCGACGTTGCAACTGGGTGTTATGGATGTGCAACCTGGTCTTGTTGCGGAAGGCTTTTCTTTGACTCCTGATACCGTAGATGCGGATCTACAGAAGCTGGGTGGTTCACCCGGCTCTGTTTTCTTGCTGGGCGATCCTGCTATCTCGGCACCCGGCTTGGCCCGAACACTTGGGACCGTCGACAAGAAGTGGCCAGCGTCTGTGAAGTCAGGGATGATGGCAGCTCCACCAGAACAGCCCGGAGGGCCAGCCGTCTGGATTAATGGCAAAGCCGTTCCTGGGGGATTTGTAGGGCTTCTGCTGCCCGGCCCTGCCTCAGCCATGGTTGATCTCCTCGGCTGTGTGCCGGTAGGAGGAGAATTGGAAATATTCGAAGCAGATGTGCAGCGTGGAAAGCCGCCAGCACTTCTGCAGATAGGCACGGATCAGGAGGGGGATTACCGAGACGTTGCCGAAACCGAGAAGGGCACCGCTGGAATTCCCCGACGGGTAGGAATCATGGCCGCGCAGGCTCTCAAAAGCGTCATGGAAGAAAACAAGCTCGGAGGGCCAAAAGAGATGCTCCTGGGCTTGTCGCGGCCTACAAATAGCCCAACCAGCCCAACAGGCAACCTGGCAGCGGCTTGGTCACTCTTCAATTGGGTTGGCGTTTCCAAGTCGGGTGCGGCAATGCTCGCCGGCGGTGATCCCGTCGCAGAAGGTTTGATGCCGACTGGAGCCTTGCGCATGTGCCAGTGCTTTCGGGTGGCCCCGGCCAGTGCAACCTGGCAGCGTTTGTTATCCCAGCGCCAAGGACCAGCACGAATGGCATTGGCACTGGCAGGTGGCAGAGGTATAGCCCCAAAAGAAGGTGCGTCCGTGGTGGCTGCTGGTGGTACACCAGCACTTGGGGGTCTTGGCATGTCCGTCATTGGAAGTGCCGCTCCTGGTGCCCCTCTTGCGATCCACAGGCAGGCGGCTCTGCTCGTGACGTTTTCCGGCCCTTAAGTCGTGAGAGCGGCTGCAGAGCACTTCAATGAAGTGCATGCAGTTGTGTAAGTTTTTCGAATTGTTCTTGGTGCGTATTTGTTCTATCGCTGCGCCGCCGACAGTGCAGAGCAAAAAGTCAAAGAGGGTAGCCGCAGGCCAAGATTCTAGAAAGCAGGCCGATGCCAAACGTGGGATGCGTTGGGCTTGACAGTCTTATTCCTTGCTTGGAGGCACACAACATTGACGACGTTTGCATTGAATCACTCAGCGTCAAGTTGAATCGGCAGAGGCGCACCGGCCGCATCTGAAAAGGTTTGGGTGTGGTGTTATGAGTTATAATGACTCATGACGCAGCCGAATACTGTAGGCCCTAGGCAGCGGCTCCAAGGGAAGAGCTGTTTTCGATGACCGCGAGATGCATCGTTTGTTGGCCACAAAGGCTGGATCAATCCTTCGGCAACCTTACGAGGCAAGCGAGCTGTTGCTGCGGTATCTCTGGCCAAGCAGCAAATTAGTACATTCATGGTTGTGTGCGTGCTGTGGTGTAACTCGCTTTTGCTCCTCAATGGTTGCCAACGGCGAAGTAAAGCATGTGCACGACAGAGCACTCACAGCACCAATGTCAGCGTGGCATAACATTGCGTAAGGTCAGCGGCTCTCTGTGTCCGACTTTAGCTGGCAGTCCTGCTTGCACGGACAGCAGCACTGGTGCATGGTCCCGTAAGTTGCATGCAGAGCTGTACGTTTGTACGTGTTGCCGCCTCGCTGCTTTGATCGAAGCAGCTATGGTTCAGAGTTGCCGAGAGAGGGTTCCGAAGTTGGGCTCCATGAAATCCGCTTCTCATTGCACGGCTTTGGGGTGCAGGCTCGGCAACGAGGTCGACCGTGTCAAGCGCGAGGATGCTTCTCGTCTTCAGGAGGCAGCCGGCCTGGGATTGATGTGGGCCGTTCTCGGCATCTGTCGCACCTGGGCCCTGGCAGGAGTACAAGCGCTTGGTGCAGGGATTGAGACAAGCTGGCCAGCCGCTCGATTGATCATGCAGCTGTCATGACCGGAGTGCTGTCAGACACAAGCGAGTTCAAACGGGTTTAAAGCAACGAAATGCCGCTGCAAGATGATGCCGGTGTCATGCTCGTTTATCTGAGGATCGATGAAGCGATGGCCGACCAGTTGCAGAGCCCAGTCCTTCCTGAAGATTTGGTTAGCGAGGCCATCCCAGGGAGGCTTGGCACAATTGGGCTGATCCAAGCTTCAGGCTTCCGTTGCAGAGAAGCCTCTGGTCTACATGCAGCGCAACACTGCACCTTCTGAGACCAAGGAACATCCGTCGTGCGGAGCACTTCATCGCATTGTTGCGACGTGACGCTCATGAATCAAGAACTAGGCCTATTATGATTTATTATGCAAACGTGTCACGCAGCGTTTTTCTATGGGACAGTGGAGCGCCCCTTGTCAATACGAGGGTGACGGTGGGTGGCTTCGATTTTTTAAGGCTTGGTGAATTTCTTCCGGCGCTACCTTCACGTGGACCGAGCTCAGTGCGAGGGCCCCCTATCCGCCGCTCACCTGCGTACTTTGACTTACGCCGTGCGGTGCTGTGCTGCTGACATTTTCTGATCATTGAGGTGACGCATAAGATGGAGGAAGATGCCGACTCACTGTGGCACTTTGAGACAGCAAAGTTCCGAGCGAGTCGAGCTGGTAGACAATTTGGCTAGCTGTCTGGATCAAAGTGTCAGCTGTCTTGTTCTACATTGTGCGGGTCCGAAGAAATGCAGCCCGATGCATGTGCGTGTTTCTCAGGAGGTGGATTCCAAGTCGTTAAAGTTCTGCCACGAGCGCCTAAGGTCTTTGCTGCTTTGTGGAATGAGAGCAGTGAGCGTGTCTATGTTCGTTGAAGTTGTATTTCCCATGGTCAGCAGGCACATTGATGCATCTTCGTTAGCACGATGCCGAGGCTTAACACGCTGCAAGTGGCAAACTTGGACGAGTTCACGCCTATCACAAAAGTGGCTGACTTCGTCACCTTGCTTGGGACATATTCCCAGGGCTTTAGCATCATTGTCGACCCATATCCCGAAGCACAAGGCCCTGCATGAGGAGTCTAGCCATGGCAAAACCGAGTTGCTGACTGTAAAGACGGTCAACTATGCACAGATGTGGATTTCTGCACAACTCGACTGGCCAGGCATTTACGACCCTACATTGATCCTTCGCTGCTTGGATGCTTCAATCGCTATCCGGCCGGTCCTTAAGCGATACCAGTCGGTGGTGCTGACGTCCGGTACAATCTCTCCGTTGGAGATGTACCCAAAGCGGCTGGATCTGCATTTGTTGTTTCGCACTTTGTATTTTGTCCAAGTCCTGCGTGCCAGCTCTGGAATTCAACTTGACTTCAGAGTTTCTTCGTCACAGTGCGCCGGGGTCGCATGTGCTCCTCGGGTCTTAACTGGCTTCCCAGGATTCTCGGCATGTCGAACGTGGTGGCGACTGAGTCTTTCTCCATCACCATGGAAAGGAAATGCCTGTGCCCACTGATTGTGACACATGGTGTGGACCAGGCACAGTGGCCGCACATCTTCTGTTAGTACAAGGTGAACACAGGAGAGCTCAAGCGATGCATTACAATCCCCCACCCTACACTGTCGGCTGGTCTTCTCCGCGCGGGTTGCCTCCGCACGTCAGATACTTGTCCGAGTGGGATATAGGGGATGTGTGGGGTGTTGCGGGATACAACCTGAAGCCATGGGACTGATTCGCTCGGTAGAGAAGTCGCTGTGGAGGTGCCGATCTCCTCTCGCTTCAGCATGCGAGAGGACTGAATGCCAAAATCTTTTCATGCTCTTGATTTTGCAGAAGGGCAGCTGCTAAGAAGGTGGAGTCGATTGCGCAGAAGCCACAGAATAGTTTCAGACAGTAGTATTGCATAGCCTGTCGCTGTGCAGGATCCCAGTGTCGTGATGGCCTATGGCACCTTGCTGGAGGAGCTGGTCAAGACGGTACCCGATGGGGTAGTATCTTGGCAAGACTTGCGCCAGTTTCCCCAGTTCGTGGCTCGTGACCGATGGTAGTGCCCGATGCTAAGTATGTCAAGTGTTCCGACCGTTTTTTTGTGCATTCAGCTCTGGCAACCGAAGTGGTTCTGAGGTGTGTTTCTTCACGTCTTATCGCTACTTGGAGCAAGTTCTGGAGAAGTGGTATGAAACAGGCACACATGCACTGCCGTGGTTACGAGTTTTGACGATTTTGGCGTTCATCCCCATGCATTTCGAAACTCAGAATGGGCACATCTGTACTACAGAGCTCTATTATGCATTTCACCAAAGCCTCCTTCAAGAGGGCCCCGGCTTGCAAGGACGGATGAAGGAGTTCAGTTTGGTTTCGTACGGCGCGCGTAGAGTTTGAGTAGCTTCGTACACAATGAGCCTTAAAGATGCGCCCGGGAATCCTAACCATGTCTAGACATGTCTAGACACAATCGTCGGGCAAAGCAGGCTCAAGCGCTAACGTGCAGTGACAGTATCGAACCCCCCCAATGCTCCTAATGCTTTGCTCCATTGAGCGAGATGTCAACAGTCCTCTTAAGCCGGCAGCCCGCAGGGAGACTCTCATGTCTTTGCCCTGGAGGCGTAATCTCACGGGTGCTGAAGCACAAGCTGGTTTTCATTGAGACCGTGGATGCCGGCCTCAGTTTTGTGAAATTGGGATTCTTCACGTACCGTCCACTTGTCCAAGCAGTGGTCCCGTCATTGCTGTGACATCGATGTTAGCCGGCCAATCCTGTCGGACTCAGGATGTTGTTGCTACCACGTATGCTCTCAATCTCTATCGGCAGGCGCTGACCGTTGCATATGCTGTGTTGCTTTTTGGTCGATACAAACGCTCGGTCTTGTTAGAAGTAGCGTTTCAGGAAGCCATAGGACTTTGTGTTCCCCCGACGCATTGACAAGCCCAAGTTCAGCAGCTCATAAACTACTTTTCTGACTTGCACCATCTTTTGACAGCCAGCGGAAGTGCTTCGTAGTTGTATGCAAAATTACCTGTTCACCCTGGCTTTCTTAAGATTTTCCTGGCAAGGCCTGTGACTCTGGGCAAGGAGCTGTCTTTCTCAGCGTTGCGCGCGGGAAGGCCCCTTTAGTGAGGAAATGTATTACAGGAGCGCTTTAGGAATTGTACCTGGGCTTTCTTCTTGGCTGGTCACGCATCCAGGGGCTTGTTTGCTTTCGCATATCTCTGGGGTCGTCGGCCTGATCAGGTGGCGGAGGGCATTGACTTTGATCGGCACTATGGACGATGTGTCGTTCTGTTTGGAGCCTCTTGGCTGTACCTGATCCGACTCTGTCGTGCGGAGTTTTTTTTCAAAAGCTTGACGACGGTCGACGACTTGTGGCCTCGATTGATGCCTGCGGACCTAGGTGCCCTTTCAATACACGTTGTCGCGAGAACTGCGGGCGAGGCAGTGTCGCTTGAGACTTCACGAACATTTTCAACCCGGAAATGGCACCTGCTCACAACTCCTTGGGGATACCGCAGGAGACTTGCATCGCAGCCACCATAATCAGATCCACGGCCACGCAAGAGTCCGACAAGTGGGAGCCAAAAGATCCACGGCCACGTGCGAATTGCGCTGTCGTCGTGATTCTGTGATTGATTGCGTGCAGGCTGGAATTTCTCCGACAGCACTACGACATCAAGGATGGAAGCTCTTGTTATTCAGGTGCATAGCTGGAGAGGAGATCAATTTAGAAGTCTGGAACATCAGGATAAGGAGCTATGTGTGAGCCCTTGGGAAGCACACTGCACATTCCAGGAGTCCGAGTTCCTCAACTTCGATGCCATGAGGCAAGCCTCTCAATGCCTTGGACGCGTCATCCGTTCCAAGCGCCACTTGTCTCACCTACTCGTGTTCTGACTCCGCCAATGCCCTGCTGGCAGATGTGTGCGCCTAGTGGTCCTAGTGTCCTAGTCGCATCTGAGGAGACTACGGAGTCATGATCTTTGCTGATCAAAGATATGCTCGGAGGGACAAGCGATCCAAGATCCCTGACTGGATGCTTGGCGAGATGCAAGACAGCCGTTTTGCTTCTCAGCCAGTGGTGTCCTGGATACTGCGTCGTGGGCATAGCAAGACTTCCTCTGACGGGATTGTCCCAATGTCAGGATCCGGAACTTCCTCGATCCAGGCCATGTAGCCATGGCCATTGATGTCGCAGTCGAGGCTGCGCAGAATTTCTTGCTACAAATGTCTCAGCCATACGTGTCCCGGCCTGACGGTTTGAGTATCTGTAAATTTTCTGAATCCAACTCCAAGAACCCAGGAAGAGAAGCGAGGCATCGGAGCGTCTGTCCTGAGTCCAGAAGCCCTTAAGGACCGTCATCCCAATGTGCCACAGTTCTTCCCTTGCACCTTCTTACAAGCCACCTTCCAACGATTGTGAGTTTACAGCATACTCTGAAGGAGATGCAAGCGGAAGAGGTGCGCAGCCTCCAAAGCACAGAGGCAGCTGTTCATGGAAGACTTGAGAGCAATAGCTAGCACTCAGTCGGTGAGCATGACGTGCTCAGTCTTCGGTGTCCTGCCACCTCCTGCAAACGAAATGTTACGTTGCAGGCCAAGAAAACGGGAGCACTTGGTGAGCTGCTCGACGACAGGATGCCTTTACCACAACAGACGTTGTTTCTTGCCCTTGTGAAGCCTCCAAAGTACCAGAAACCGCCTGCTGTTCTCCAGCTGAGGAGCGCGGCTTCCAAGGAGGACGAGCCGCCCGAGAAGCGATCTCGGCTTCGGATGTCAGAGTGACCACGTCACTGGCTGGCTCTGTCATACGGAATTGAAGAATGTGTCTGCCAAAGCTCGCAGAGAAGATGCAGATTCCCAGGAAAGGGAGGGTCAGGAAGGCACCTCTGTTTTCAGCTTCTTGCTGATAGGTGCACGAGTCTGAGTTGACCGGTTCACCTGGTCTGTGTGGTGTTATTTTAATTCTGGCTTGTTTGTAGCTTCTGGCACCCGCAGAAAGACAGGATGTCATGGCGTGTGTGCAACACACATGCCGGTTTCAAATCCGAATGCGGCCCGCCGAGCTTGTACACACCAGGACCATGAGAAGTTGCTCTGTGGCAGCACTCGAGGATTTTGAGGCGTGTCTGTACAGATACTCGCTCCAAAGTCTTGGCCTTGCAACTCTGGCTTCCTGAGCTTAACAGCCTAACCGATCAAAACAATTGCAGCAGCCTTGAGTCATGAAGAAACCTGAGGCCTCAGGGTCTTCACCAGTTCGGATGTGTGTGTGTGTGTGTGCTCTTCTGAGCTTGGGTTGTGTTGTATGGAGCTTGGGCATGATTTGGACCCCCACCCTCCTGCAGAATTCATTTGCCGTTGCTGTGTTCATGCCCCAACTGCTGCCAGAGAAGCGGTGATGTGCATGGGCTTCGTTCGAAAGAAGTTCATGTAGTACGACGCCATGACCAGGAGGGACCAGGGGTCAGGGGTGGCCAGTCCTGATAAAGAAAGACTCAAGCGGGCCGGCGATGGACCGCGAGCTCGGGCCGCTGCCGCGATGGCCTTCGGCTGCGCTTTTGGCCTTTCGCCGGGTTCGGACAGAGGCCGGGAGCCGGGTATGGCCGGTATATGGCCTATCCCCTTCGAAGGCAGAGCCTCCTGAATTGGGGCTCCGGCCTTCTGCTTCTCTCCTTCGCTCCTTAGCTTCGGCCATCCTTCACCATCTCGTGCGAGGACTTGGAAGCTTGCGCTTCTCTTGAGGCTGCTTCGTACCCAGCGGACGAGGCAGGGAAGGACTCAGACGGTAGTCTTGTACCTCCATCTTGTGGAGCAGGCAGCATCACCAGAAAGTCTCGCCCTGAGACAGCGCGTGGCCAACGTGCCGGGCTCGGCAGTGAAGCAGTTCCCAGTTTGTCGTCTCTCTTGGCTGCAACTCAGGACTTCTTCTGGGGCGCTTTCGCACCTGGGCTGGAAGTCCACAGTACTGATAGTTGGAAAGTCAGGGGCTGGACTTCGGTCTTCAGGATCCTGGAGCATTCATTGAAGTGTCAGCTCTCGACATGGGCTGAGGAGAAAAACAATGGTTCTTTGGTTGGCTTCGTTTGTGGAACTTGTGCAGCTGGAACTTCCTTGACACACGCAACTTGGCAGGTGTTCGACAAGTCGTTTCATCATCACGTACCTTAATCAATTAGCTCTCATCCAAGCCCTGGAAAAGTATTTCCGATGCTGCGTGAAGCTCGTACACTTACTTGCAGCAGCCTCAGGTTGTGAGGCTTGACCTTACGGATAGTGGAGGAGGAGAGGGAGGAGGGCAAAGACAACTAGAGCTGAGGACGTGGCTTAACACTGCTAGCACGGTGTCACTCGCAAAGTAGTCGCACTTTCGAGGTCTAATCACGCTGGAATGACATGCTGCCTTTCTTGCTCCCTGAACAGTCTTGCTGCCCTAACCTCCACAAGCCTCCATGGTCTCCCCATCTTTGCTTCCACTTCTTTGCCTTTTCCCTTCCTCTCTCAGCTTCGCTTTCGGTCCTTGCGCTGGCAGAAACTCAGGAATCAATGGAGAAGCACGTTCCTGGAGGCTTTTTGACACCAGCTGTTCGGTTCGCTCTTTCAAAGCGTGGCATAACGAACAAGGACTCAGCATAAGGCAGTCGAGCGATCAGAGCCTTCTGCCACCCGGAGACTTGAATGTGACCCCACTAATCTTGCGAATAGTGCTGCAGTTTGGATGGACCGAGAAAGAGGTTGCCGACATTTGTTGTGAGAATATCCGGTCAAGAAATCACCCAGAGAAGTTTTAGCCAATGTGATGATTTTGCACCTACAGGCGACCTTCTTTGTGTTCATTCTGTGGTGGTCCAAAAGCATCTGCGGAGAAAAGGACCCAGCCCTGCGTTTGGCATGCTTGCTTCTTGAATGCCATTCTGGCCAAGCCGTGTCGACAAACGACGTCGCGCAGCGGATAGATTGCCACCCGTTCCTCCGGACGTATTCAGAACAGGTTCTTGGCCGGCAATTTGTGTCCGAATTCTGATTCGTTTAGCGCTTGCACACGTTAATGCCTGATCTTCAACACAAGCTGGCTGCCCACAACCTTCTTCTGCTAGAGTAAGTGACCATCCAACGTTTTGCTGGCAATCTCGGGGAACAGAGCAGGCCTTGTAAAGCTTTTCAAGAAGTGCATGCCGCGGCAGCTCCCTGCGACAATCGGAAGCCTTGTTCCGTATGCACCGGGGCAGACTCGGACAAGGAGTATAGTCAATTGGAGATGAGGGGGCCCCGGCCGCACCATTGGGCACAGGCTCCTTCAAGCCAGCTGGCGGCTTCAGACCGGTGATGTGAGTTGTGGTAGGACCTTACAGTACTTGTAGGATGTGAGAAAATGGGGGTGACTCTGTGACTTCCGATGGCCTTAGCGGCCTTCGGCCAGCACATTTCCATCGCACTGCAGTGTCCAAAACAGCGTACTCTAGCAGGACTATAGGGGAGGGCGTGTGGGCGGCGGGGAGGGCGCGGGGGCACGCACTTCGTTAGCCGATCACCTCTGGTTTGCTTGTGTCGTTGGCCAAAGAGATTCCCGAGCACGTCGAGATGCTCCTCTGAAGCCTGACTTCGTAATGTTGAAGCGACTGGAATTCTTGCTTCATGCAGGGAATTGCCGGCTTTGACCTTTGTGTTCCAAGTCTTTTTCGGAATCCTTGCCGCCTGCGCGCAGGAGTTGCTTTAGCAATGCTCCGAGAGTACTTGCGGGCTGTGGCGGCCTTGCACGCTGCTCCAGGCCAGAGGTGCATGTAGACGCAACACCCGTCACAAAGCAAGTCAAGGCCTTCTGAGCTGGTTTGCTTCGAGTCGTGGCCAGATATAGGGTGTATTCTGCAGGCTCGTCGCCACCACGAGCGTGCGCTCTTATAGCCAAGGCAGGCTTGGTGTCTCTGTACGTGCGCCCTGCCTGCTTTTAACAGCCCATGCCAAGAAAGGGGAAGCGCACTTCGCTTGCGGCTGCGGTTCATGAGATTGCAGGCACGAAAAGACCAAGCATGTATGGATTGTTGAGCGCATGTACGCAGTGCTGATATCCGCTGAGGAGCGCCGGCTTTGAGCTTATCGGGCTTTCCCCCGTCGTGCGCCCTGGCGTCATTACCATCTGCTCTTTCCGCCCATCTGCAGCTCCATCCGCTGCAAGATAATCGGTTCTCACCGCACGATGCAACAGCCCCGCAGGCACGGCGCTGACCCGTGGTTCGAGCTCCAGGTCGGCCCAGAATTCCGATGTGTGCTGCATCTTCAAGGGAAATGGGCCACTAATTAGATCATATAGATCTGTCTGAGCGATGCCTGAAACATCCGACAGGTCTGCAGAAGTAAATCTTGAAAGCCGTCGCATCCGACTGGAGAAGGGCGAAACCCGTTGCTCCAGTTGATCTGCCGCATATGGCCTGCACAGGGGTGCCAGTCTTCGGGCTTGCAGCGTGAAGTTCCTGGTATTACAAGGTACCGCGCTCCATACTGATTCTCTGAGAGCTGAAGTTGGTTGTGTGCAGCTTTCGACTTCTTGCAGGTGCGGGACATTGTGCGCACAGCATCTGGCGAGCGCATGATCCAGCGGCTCGACAGCATATTAGGGTGGCTGGTTCGTGCGTGCAGCATGTCAATCTGAATCCTGCACTGGCACGGACCGGTTTGGTGAAGATCTGATCTGGGAGGACCCGGCCCTGTTGTCGTTGCGACCTTAGGCGTGGCAAGTGAAACATTCAGACTACAACGGTCATCAGGTGCGATGCTTTCGCCGCTGTGCCCTGCACCGGCAATTCGGCTGCTGTTGTCTTTTCGCATCGCGGCGGCGATGCATCATGGATGCAAAAGGCAGAGCAAGAGTGAACGTGCAAAGCAAGTTGCCTAGGTTTCTCAGTCCGGGCTCGGAAGTGCCTACAACATCTTCAGGTGTATCACCATGTGTCAACTGAAGGATCAAGTTGAAGTAGGATCTCTTGATGCAGGTGGCAATGGAGAACAACCTCGCTGAGACGGCTTTCGTGGAGCTGCTTTCCAGCGAAGAGTCAACTGAGGAACTCACGCGCAAGCTATTGGGGGGAGTGCATAAGCTGGATACCGCTCAATTGCAGTCAAGCTAAAACAAGCTGGGTCGCAGGAGTCTCTCTGAACCGAGCTGGAGCTTATGCCATGCCTCCCAAGACTGTCCTTGCAGGAAGCGCACCGTTTTGCGATCCGCTGGTTCACACCAACTTGTGAAGTTGATCTTTGCGGCCATGAGCCTTGGAATCCGACTTAGCAGTCATGATGCTTTTCGGCCTTGGCCCAGCCCGCTCAAGGCCTTTCGCCAAGTGACAGGCTTTGCTCGGTCGTGTTTGAAGCTGAAGCATCACATTGCTTAGCTTGCGGGGCGACTTTCTTTAAGGGAATCGTATGCGAGCGTATATTGTTGAACCAAAGCCGCAGTGTAAGGCCACACTTGGTGCAGCGCATGCGCTGTGGACCACTGGCCGTGCGTCCAAGCGACGACGAATCGATTTTGAATCGAAAGCCTCCGGCACTTTGAGCTGCAGCGTGACAGATGGGGGCTGGATACAGATGGATTTCCCGGCAGACATGCCGAAGATAGCAGATGCTTCAGTTGATGGCTCGCTGCCCAGCGCAGATGCCTTGGGCAGAGCACTTGGGCTGTCGGGCTGTGACGTTCTTGCCATCGGCCGAGGGAAGTTCGACATCCTATGCGAGCTGTCGCCGACCGCTTTCGATCGGATCACGCCGGATCAAAGTGCCCTCGCTCGCTTTGAGTGCCGCGGGGTGTGCGTAACGACCCAGGGCTGCGAAGGAAGCTGTGATGCCGAGCGTGCTGCTGCAGCAGCTGCAGGGAGCGTGGTCGACTTCCGATCCCGGTTCTTTGGACCGCGAGCTGGCATTCCAGAGGATCCTGTAACAGGATCGGCCCACTGCATGCTGGGCCCGTATTGGATGCAGAAGCTCGGCCGAGGTTCGAACGGTGCGAGCAGCGCAGGCGAGGTGATCGGATTTCAAGCATCACCTCGAGGGGGTGTTGTTAAGTGCGTAATCAAAGGAAACGGACGGGTTGTGCTGTCCGGCCCGGCAGTTACGACGCTGGAGGGCATGTTGTATTGTAACTGACCCGTGATCTGCTGCGGCTCCAAAACGCAGAAGGGCGATTTTTCCAAGGCACCAAAACGTCCCGAGCGTTTGAGTTGCCGAGTCAGCCAACTTGCAGCTTTGCCGAAATACAGGAAATGTCAATGAAGCCTGACCCGCATCGCAGGCTCTTGGCAGAAACATGGTGGAGACATTCATAGCAGCTTCTCGGCTTGAACCGGTCCGAGCATGTCACATGATCAGGGCACCCTGGCATACAATTGGAGTCTTAGCGAGCATCGCTTCGTTGCCCTGAAGCAGACTAAACTGGCGTGTGTGCGACGCCAATGTTCCGCAACCTTCAACGTTCGCCAATGTTGTGCAAGAGACGAATCATGAAACCGTGAAAATGCGCACGATTTGACATGGCATACCGCTTTCCGATTTAGCTTGTGACACGCGTGGAGGTGGGGGAGGGCAGGAAGGCACTCGGAGGCGCCTGAGAACGTGGCACAATGTGGGAGCATGGCGAAATCAACGTGAAGGCTTCGTAAGCTGACTCAGTCAGTCCCCCCCAGTCAGGCCTCCGGGCGGCACTGCGAGTGAACTGCGACTGAGGAGAGCCAAGACGAGGTTAGAACAGTTCTTCGACGAGCACTCGAAGGCGGCATGGGTTCGCGCCCAGACTGGCAGTGAGTAAAGCATGTGGTTGGCAGTTGCTTTGCAGGTGAGTCGGCAGAGAATGTGACGATACACTTGTGCGGCAAGGCTGATTCTCATTCTTGATTTGTGCGGCAGTTGTATGCTGGGGTTGGGGCGTGCTGACTTGGAACACGACAAGCGCTTTTCAGACTCAAGGTTTGGGCAGTGTCAAGAATAATTTTGCCGTGGATGCAGTCGATGTTGAGTTTGATAAGCTACTGGTAGCACAGAGGCTGGCTCCGCAACTGAGCTGGCCTTTCTGGCCCTCTTTTTGCTGAGACTTTAAATCTACGAATCGACGTCTGTGAAAAGTGCTGCTGGTCTCTTTACTGCCTACTTGAAGCAATGCCAGGATGGCGTGAGTCGCTTCGTCCTTCTAAATGCCTGGGCCCCAGCTGTTCGGGTGCTCGCAACAGAACACATGCTTTAAATGAACTCGCCATCTTCGACGCCTCGCGTGCCAATACCAAACAAACCTTGCCTCTGCAGACCGTGCGTTCACCCCACATGCTACAAACGGCCTCAACTTCTGGAAGCTTCAGAACGGACACGGAGAGCGGTTCAGAAAAGTCACATCCGAGCGGAAAGCGAGCCCCAGGCTACTGCGAAGCAGAGCAGCGAGGGCAGCATCACTGGAGTTATTTGTGTCGGCCAGGAGCCCGTAAGCACTGCTTAAAGGCAGATATGTTCGAGTGCGAATGTCTGGGTTTGCAGGACATCACAGAGTATCGTGACCTGATGAGACAGCCTGGTCCTTGGTACGGTCCTTCCATATTTGCACCTCCTTTGGCCTCAGTAGCTGGGGACTTTGGGTTGAATTGATGGCAATGTGCACTGACTACCGAAGGATGATTTCGAAGCGATTTCCTTCCCAGATCTTGTCGTGCCGAAGCGTTTGGTGACGGTTTGAGTGACAAGAGTCGATAAGTCAAAAAGCTGCATATTTGAATGATGCAACCTCCAGCCAGTGTTTCGCAGGTGCACGTGTCCCTGCAGCATAGCCACGGTATGTGCTAAATTCGCTTGTCTGCTGCCTGAGGAATGAACTCGTCGCTGATGATCTCAGAAGGCTTATCGAGACAGCAAATGCGCCGATCTTTGGAATTGACAGCAGAGGTTGCAGCCTCAGAAGAGAAGGGGCGCTTCCCGGCAAGAAGCATCACTCAGCCCACGCATCTGCAAAGAATCTGTCAACGACTTTTCGCTTTAGCTGCGTGCATGGTCAGCATTTGATGTGGCTGCACGACCCCTCTTCGCCATTGTCCAGCAGCGGGGTGGACTTGCTAAGGCTGTGTGACGGTCTGGAATCGAAAGGCACGCTGCGCTTGGGGCGTTGCAAGAGGTGCGTTCTCGCCACAACCTCACAGCTAGTTATGCAGTGTTCAGGCGGAGCAGATCACGTCCTACCCGAAGACGGCCAGTGGAGGGGTTGTGGTGTCGTGCCAGACATGCAGCGCGATGTAATACTATTCTTCGAACTAGCGGTAACTGTGCAAGCAAATAGCAGCACCCACAAATGCTTGCTAGCACGTGGTGCAACATGGCTTGCATGATATAATGACATAGAAACATCATTTCGAGGCATTGGGTGACGACGCGTGTGTCAGCAGCTGTTACAAACTCTGGCATTCTGTTTTGGTTTAACAGTGCGGCAATTTGGCCGTGCTGGGTCATGTCATGGTCCGTGCAATTGGCATGACAAACTGGCTCCAGACACATGCTGTTGGAATGCTCACTAGTGCCGCGAGAGCTGTCGAAAGATTCTCACCAGAAGCGGGCAACACCACAAAGTTCATGCAATGGCAGATGATGCCATGGTGGTCGCTGCCCTTAGCTTGCCCGTGCCGGCATTGGAGCCTCAGACCATGGCCCTTCGGCAGCATTCAGAAGTGCAGCTAGAACCTGCGACCATCATGGAGAGCTCGCAACGTGTTTCCAGATCCGTGATGAAATGGTGCCTGACATAGTTCGTCAGTAAGAGCCGCCGGCGCAAGCTCGCAGTTAAAACGTCATGGAACCGTACGAATGCGCCTTCTATGGCCGGCACGTAAATTGGCAGCGTGGAATTGCACTCTGCCTTGATCGCGCTTTTGGAGAAGCCATCGCGGGCCAGACAAGCGACTGCATTGCCTTGCCAGAACTTCCCCCGTGGCGAGGATCTCGAAGAGGCTGATCAAGAAGACGAGTTGGACCAGGCCAGGAATCGGAAGTGCTGGGCATTCCAGGAAGGGGTGGGGTGGGGGGGGGGTGCTCCTTTCACTCCTTTCTCAGGCAGAGGTGGAGGCTCTGGCGGCGGCTCTGGAAGCTCAGGCCCTCGGATCTTCCTCGGAGGTGGGCGTGAGTCTTTCCCGCAAGCATAAAGTGCAAGTTCGGGTTTGGGCTGCCAGTGCCTGCCCACTTTGGAGGCATCCCGAGTTGAGTTTGCACCTTTTCGCAGGAGTTGAAGAAACCCTTGTTTCGAGGGCAGACGCTGCCGCCCCTTGGAGTGCAGTGGGTTCACGTCCGAAGATATACTCCCGCACCCCACCTCCAAGGAGGACCTTAGAGTCGGCCAGTCTCCAGTTGCAGAAGGCCTGCCAACCCATTGGATCGAGATATGGCGTGAATTTGTGAATTCATTCGCCTCGAAGACGGCTGAATTCTGCGAACTCCGAGTGGGAGGGTTTTTCGTAATGCCCCCGGAAGATAAGGTTTCTCAAGTAAGGTGTGGTCAACATGAATAAGCTTTGCGTGGTCCAAGCGATACCACGGCAGCCGCGGTAGAAGCGTTGTGAAGGCAAGGAGCTTCCCGTTCATGTGCGCAGCTGGTCGCTTGCGGGACACTTGGGCTCGAGACACTGACCCAGCATTTCGATTGCAATCTGCTCATGTCTGCTTGGCCATGTGCCACCCCCCCCACTAGAGAAGCATAGTCTCACTGCATCGGGCTTTGAAGTAAAGATGCGAAAGATCTTCAGTTCGGTTTTGACACCATGGAAATTGTGCTTCACCTCCGGGCAGCAATGCTGCAAGCTCTCCTTCCCCACATACCGTGCCCAAGCAGCTTCATCTGACTTCAGCATGCTTAATGTTTTTGTCGTTTTCTGGCATCGACAAACCAAGTCGAGGCGCTGTGATGCAACTTTGGCCGTCCAGCGGAAAAGCTGAGAGAAGCCAAGACCGCAGGTCTACAAAAGAGTTGCATCTTGGCAACGTGACCTGGCCCCAGCACGGAGATTGCAATGGACCCCCCCCGATGTGGCTAAATTCAGCAAGGGCCGCGAGGCTGCAAGTACTGGAGCTGCTATACGTCCTAGCATGTCTATACTGTAGCATTGCCCCCAAGATTTCCTCTGATGGCAAGGTTCTGTGGATCTTCAGGGGCCGCTCCTACCCCACGACGAAATGATGAAGAAGAACTTACTGGTGCAATGGCGGCCAGGGCACCCCCAAAACGGTGGTGTTGATCTCTCACCAGTGGCTTGTGAGAGGTTGCTTGTTTTTGTACCGAGTACTACCGCAAAATCACACCTGCTCAGGTGGGGCTGGCTTCCGACATCCAGATCCCCAACGCGGGAGCAGTTCCAAGTTCTGCAGAGCCTTTCTTTCTTCGTAACCTTGTCCGGTCGTGTCAGCATTGGCAAGGACATGGTTGCGCAGCCTTGGCCTCCATGGCACTTTCATTTCACCAGATTTTTTTCACAAGATTTGTTCCACACCAGCGCTTTGTCAGGCATGCCCCCCCCGTGCTGTCTTGGCTTCCTAAGGTCTCGCGGCGTGGGACGTCCCGATTCCCAGCACACAGAGCAGCGAGACTGCCTCGACTCGGGACATCTGGTACGATTTCTTTGGCATCCCTCAGATAGATGATCGAGGTTGTGTCCTCAAACACACCGGAGCTTCAAGCTGCAGTTGACGCATTTTCCTGCGTACTGTCACGCCATCTGACCATCATTGTCATCCTGGAGCCTAGCCTGCGACATGCAGACAGGGCAAGACGATAAGCTGCTTGCCTTTGTGAGCCCAACACAATCCCGGAAACCGCCTCATCTACTGCGGCTGATTCTGCTTGCTTTCTGCTTCTTCGATGCCAGGTTTTTTCGGCAGTTGGAGACGCGGGGTTGGTGCAGGCTTCTGCATTGTGTTTGCGTGCTCTCGTTGCTCGGGAAGAAAAGGCCTGTGCAACGTTGTGGTTGTGTGCAGGGCGGAAAGGACTGCGGCAGCACTCTCAGCAGCTGCTGCATCGGTGTAACCAGCGTCGCGCATCTCATCGACTTGTAGACTGAAAGAGTGCATCAGAATGTGAACGGGTTAGGTATCACGCCCTGTCCAACTCATGAACGTGTAAGGACAAAGGACTTTTTATGCCCTTGTCTGTGGTGACCACCACTCCACGAACGATCTTCGCCTCGAGCGGTGCAGCGTGGATCGGAAGCTGGCCGCAATGAGGGAATTTACCGTTGAAGGAGATAGAAAGAAGCCTCCCTTATCAATTGTGTTCAGTGTTTCGGTTCGTTTTCTATTGTCTTTACTTGTGAAAGCCAAGAGTGCTTCAGAGGAGAGGTCTATGGTCTTTGTTCCACTTACCTTTGCCAGGTAAGGAGCTTACGAATAACCTTCCGGCCTTAAAAAGTGTGAAGCGCCCCTGGGCCACACTCTCTCTTTGTGATGGAGTTGAAGTTTCCGGTTTGGTTCTTCGTGCCTGTTGTTTGCTGAATGGTTTGTCGACAGCCAAAGGTGAAGCTGAGGTACTGCAGAGAAGGCGATCTTTCCCAGTGGAGATTTTACAGAGCCTTGCTATCAGGCCCCAGTTTTCTGCGGAGTGCGTTCACTTCACCCTTAAACTGGGGTTTGTGACAAACGTGGACGACTCCCACCACTGAATGTGGACGTGTGTGGTGGTGTGTGAGCTGTTGCTTTGCGTGAACACTACAGACTCGTGCTTTTGCGGTTCGTGTGTTTGTGTCCTTTGTTCTAGGCTTGCAGCCCAATCTGTGTGTGGTTGTCATGGGCCATTCCCCGCCAAGTGGTTGCTTCACTTCACGCGTTTGGCAGACGTCGGGGCCAAGGTGCAGGTCTGCTGAGAGTCAGACTCTTTCCTCGTAGAAGGAAGGAAGGGTGAGGCCGACCCTGAGCATACCGACAGCAGTGTTGCGGCTGCACATACTGTTGTTGCGCTTCCCTGCGTGCTTGTCGTGATTCCGTGAAGAAGATCTGGGGGAGAAGTGGGACAAAGTGCGGGGCGTGATGTTGAGCAGAGCTGGCTGGGGAGGTCATGCTTCGTTCTTCACGGAAACGAAGACCATCTCTCGACCTCTTCTCTGAGCCTGTGCCTCTGACTTTATGTGGGCCCTGCGGTGGCAGCTTCGAGGCGAAGATAGGGAGGGGTAGGACTGAGCCAAACTCCTCTCTATCCCTTCGGAACGAAGAGCGAGCACGACCCCAGCATCCTCTTGAGAGACGCAGGAACCCCTTCTACGGTGCAGAGCGTCAGGGACCCCTCTCGGGCTGCCCGCGTCCCTTCACAGCGCCGGCCAACGTCGCCAGCAGACCCGATAGGTGGCTAGAAAGACGTGCGAAGTTTCCCAGCCGACAGTGGCCGACGACCGGTGGAACGGCCTTATACACTTGCAAGCAGGGCACAGAAAAATGAGCCAGGCTGGACAACGACGACCCATTGGCAAGCGTCCAGCGAGAAATCTACCCCGCGTTGTCCCAGTGGATCAACACGACACACCTAGCAACGTGTTTACGTGATTATCTCGCAGGCATATCCTTGGCAACTTCACGACGTGTGTCTATGATGTGGGTCTGTACATGTTCCCTCAGCAGTCGAGAGTGCGTTAACCAACCTTCTAGGACCATGGCTCACGGGCTCTGGATCATAGTTAGAACGTCAACTGTGATGTACTCCTTGTCGTCCGCACCAGTTCCGGCTTTGACCAGTGTCCGCGGAGGGTGCCCACCACGCTGAACTCAGCTTCGGATGTAGCTCCCGACGTCCGTGGTCAGCTGCAGCGCATGCCCTCGGTTGCGTCACTGCCAACCGCATCTCAGGGATGATCGCTGGCACACTGGCGGGAGACATCTAACCTGCAGAAAGAGCATTCCGTGATGTCTTTTCTTGTAAAGCCATTGCGAGGGTTTGGTGTGTCGTCAGACTGTTGCGTCA